GACAAAAAGAAGATAATCTTAAAGTCTGATATCAAAATACAAAGCCTACTACTAACAACTTCCTTTTAGCATATTTAGCCTCATTTCATCAGACTGTCCTTATCAGTCTCTGCTTCCTCTTGAAAATGACTTCTCTTTCAACTTGCAACCTTCACATGGCTACATAGGGAAACAGATACTTCATATCTGCAGTACTAGCGGAGTTCACAAGAAATATAATACGATTGTTTGTGCCTAAGTGCATGGATGCTCTTAAATGCTATTAGGTTCACATTGCCTGTGACTGAGTTAGTGAGTGAATGCTGAGTTACACTGCACACAGCAGTATTCATGCCATGTCATGACACCTTACAAGAAACAATCCATGCTGTGTGTACCATAACACACTATCAGCCAGGTCAGCCATTGTGGCCACACAATCCCCATTTCTATTATCCCTTACATTATGCATGTGGTACTGGAAGAGGCAAAATGGGTCAAACGTTTCACATACATTGTGATGTTCATGCACGTGTGTGTGTGGTTGCTTGTACTAGTCCACCCACTGAGTTACCATGCTGCAGTTTAACATGGCTACCCTTCTCAGACACAGTATACTGACTCTGAGCCGACCAGTCCAGATCTAGACCAGTCTGTGCCCTTTAATGCAGAGCACCAGGCAGGGTAAGAAGTACAATCTTTTAATGTCTTTTTGTATGATGTGGCTTGGGGGAGCAAACCACTGACCTGCTCTCAAGGCAGACGCTCTATCCACTAGACCACGGAGACAGTGTCTGTTCTGAGAGAATGAATGTGCTGAAGCCAGTATCAAATATCCTTATCTCTTGCAGGGTTCTCTGCCCTATTCATTGGAATAGAAGCAGTCACATAATGACTCAATGTCAGGTCTGATCATTTACAGTATTGGACCGGTGAAGATCCGGGGTAAAATAAGTCTTCAGCAACCCATGCTGTAAAAGGCGACTATGCTTGTCGTAAGAGGCAACTAACGGGATCAGGTGGTCAGGCTCACTGACTTGGTTGATGCATGTCATCGATCCCAATTGCGTGGATCGATGTTCATGATATCAATCATGGGAATGTCTGGTCCAGACTCGATTATTTACAGACTGCCATCATATAGCTGGAATATTGCTGAGTGCAGCGGTAAACAACAAACCAACCAACTAATTTACAGTACTGAGTCACTAAAAATAGAATGGGAATTACTGGGAAGTGGTATTCCTCAAACCTAAGCCAAGCTTCTAACATTATTGGAGCTAATGTAGTTTGATATGTTAAATCTGCACTTGTCTATTTATAATAAAATAAAACCATTATAGACTTAACGAGCTCAATATCTCTATTTATGGACCTGAAAAATGCAATATTGACCTCAGACTTCATCCACAATCATTATAGCATTTTTTTACCATGTAAAGTCTCCAATTGTATGTCGTAACCTGTAGATAATCAGCTCTTGGCCAAGTAAACCAATGGTTGATCGCATGGGCATGACTGTACAATGACACACAATCAACCAGGTCACACTAAGCTTGTTTGTTTGTTTGTTTGTTTGTTTGTTGTTTAATGCCGCACTCTGGATCCAGTGACTCTTTCAGTGCATGATGTCAGGTTTGGCCTTGAAATTAAGTATGTCTGATGTTGACAAGATTGGTTGAAACATACGAATAATAGTGTGTTCTTATGTGAATAATTGTTTGTTTGTTTGTTGTGTAATACCATACTCTTCAATATTCCAGCTATATGACGGCGGTCTGTAAATAATTGAGTCTGGACCAGACAATCCATTGATTGACATCATGAGCATCGAACTACACAACTGAGACACAATGACATGCATCAACCAAGTCAGCAAGCCTGACCACACGATCCAGTTAGTCACGTCTTAAGACAAGCATAATCGCCTCTTACGACAACCATGGGTTGCTGAAGACCTATTCTATCCCAGATCTTCATGGGCCCATCATCTAGTATTACAGTGTAAGGCCAATACACTGTAGGGCTAGTCAACCACATGACTAGCAATCATAATTTTGTTTATTTTTGTTGAAAACAAACAAACCTCGAAATGTCTGGGTCAGAGACTACCATGGATGCCTAGCAACCTTTCCTCACACTGTGACACATCAGGTTGAGCTGAGATATGATTCATCACACGCTGACAGGTTTGGCTGACTGGCCGGGGATGTACATACAGCATTGTATACAGCACTGGAATGTGTCTACCACAGGTTTGTTAGCAATGCTATCTATTCAGGCCTAAGGTTCGAGAAAAATAATAGTTTTCTGCTTCTTGATTATTGTCCATATGAAGAATCAAACATGCAATGAAATAAACAAAATTAGTGTCCAAAACATCTTGCATGCAAGCCACATGCAAAATGTACATTGAAGATAACCAAAGATTTTACTCAGGGATTCACTGGGTCTATTTGTTTTTTAGTAAAGGGGAGTCTGAGTTGGTTTGTTTGTTTGTTTGTTGTTTAACACCGCACTCAGCAATATTCCAGTCACATGATGACGGTCTGTACATAATCAAGTCTGGACCAGACAATCCAGTGATTGATATGAGCATCGATCTATGCAATTGGGAAACGATGACATGCATTAACCAAGTCAGCGAGCCTGACCAACTGATCATGTAAGTCGCCTCTTACGACAAGCATAGTCATCTCTTATAACAAGCATGGATTGCCGAAGACCTATTCTAACCCGGTTCTTCACAGGTTGGACTCTGGGTAATACATGATTCCCAGGCATGTGACTTGCTAAAATGCCAAATCGTATTTACTTGCCATGGAAGCCAAACCAAATTTTGGATGGCAATAGCTTGAACAAAACATTTCACATAATTACTTGTGATTGAAGATCACTGCCTTAATACCTAGTTATATAATAACCTGTTCAACAGGAAATTGTTAAGAAAAGCAACTAGTTAAATATTTATCTGCATAGTTTGAAATCATCTAATAACCCGTATAAAATAAATAAATTGAAAAAAAGAAGAAGAAATGTATTAAGTCTATGAATGGCATTTAGAAGTGATGAACATATGGAAGAGAATTCATGGATGTCATAAATAAAGAAGTTAACATCTAAATTCCTTGAGAAATTTATTTGCATTTATGTTTCCATAAACAGGCCACGCCCACTAAGGGACTGCTCTGGACTAATGCTTAGTCTCTGACAATAGATAGAAACAAATATCTCCATTTATATGGAAAAGGAGCCCCAGGGAAACTCAGAACCTGATGAAAATCTAGACTTGCTTCATTTAGAGCTTGGATTCCAGAAACGGCTAAACAGAAGAGCAAATGGCATGGTTCAGGGACTGAGGCAGACCATGACTGCTGTTCCCCTTCTGTTACGTAACTCATATATATCATATGTAGGACTTGTAGTGCATTATTGCGCTGAACAATGGTGCTAACTTTGTATTGCTGTCTACAGGTTAATTGTAATAATAATTAAAAATGCAGCTGTGTTGACTTGACTTATATTGATTCAATATGTTTTAGGTGCACACCGTTTTTAAAGTTTTTACTACGATAAATGCAAAAAACATTGAAGTCAAATCTGAATTAGATCAATTTGTCATAAATTTACAATAGCAAACACCATCAAGGCTTACATGCATATATTTTAACAATCACTTTACTGTGATTTCCATGATGCAGCACTTTCTTGAGGTTCTGTCCAACATGAGATGACCCTTGTGTGAGTACACATGTATACAGATCACCTAGTTACCTGCAGGGATGGCAGAGTCTCAAAGCTATTCCCATGATTCATGATTCAGGGATTGTTGGACAATGGTTACTAGAAGTGGGAGAATACACAGATGCATCGGGGGATCGCTATTTATAACTTCTTGATGCAAGTATCAATCAGTCGCACACTAAGTAAAACAATATCGATAGTTGCCTTAAATGTTTGCTTTAAAAACTGTTACACCGAACACTAATTAGTAGTGAAAACATAAATATTTTTATCCATTGTGCTACACTTGACACTACCAACTGTAAATCATCAGTATGCCAGGTATTTGGCCACATTGTCTATGAAAAAGATGGCTTACACACCACAGACGAGAGAGAGCACATGTAAGTATCGTGATACGTATGGGTCCATGGGCAAGGTATCGTGATATGTATCAGATCACGCAGCTGGTGTATCCTCCCAGCCCTGTCACATATACATGTATTGTAGGGCCTGTTACTGAGGCAAAACAAAACTACTTTCCGTTGGCATAAAGAGGAAAGTAATGTCCTTTTGGCAGCCCAACTGTTACAAATGTTAGGGACTACAGAGCAATATAGAGAATAACCTACAACCTATGAGAATTTATGGTTTATTTGTCATGAATTAACTTTCAATGAAAGTCATTTTTCAAAGAAAATATCTGGATTTCTCCTTTACAGGAAGAGACATCAGCTAAGAGGGAATGACATGAAATCATCTGTGATATCACGAAAAAATGGATGACATCATCTTCAGTTATATTAACAAAGCGTTCAGATGACAAGGGTTGTTCCTGAAACAATCCACCCAATAGAACACCAGCGTGAACCAGCCAATCAGCATGAGGCACATATGATAATGCTCAGTGAGGCTTAATTCCTGACACTGATTTGCTTGGTATCTGTGCCCCTGTGGTTAACATATGAAAACAAAAAGCAAACAAAAATAATAGTCTTGGTTCTCAGGCACCAACCGCATCATCATAAAGTCCGCCTCACCTTTCGTTTTTATTTCCATTTTCAGAAAAAATATAACATCTTTAAATATCCCGCATTTCGAACACACGACCCTGTCAATGAAATGCTACAAGAGTTAGAAACAACATGATTTCACGGAAATTATTGTTAAAATTTAGTTACATACTAGCTTGAACCTAAAAAAAAAAAAAAAGGTCCGCCCTCACTATATTTTCAAAAGCCATTGCCTGAGAACCAATCCTTTTATTTTTTAAAGCCTAAGATGTACAGTGGTCCTACCTGTAGGTTTTCATTGTAGAGCATGCTCTTGAGCACCTGGTCTGAGCGCCGCTGAGCTGCTCGATGCTCCATCACGTTCTCCAGGTAAGTCAGGATGTCTCGGACTCGGGTCTCCGGGGGCAACAGCTCCAGAGCCTGCAGGGAGATGCAGAAGACAAGGAATATTAATCGATGTATTATCACATGAAGTGGGTGAAATCTTTTTTTTTTAATGTCGCGTTCAAGAATATTGCACAAACATAGCGACATGCCTCCCGTGCTTGCATGCTTGTACTTGTAGGGACTATTGCCAGTTTCATAGTGCCAGCTCACTGCGATACCATGCCACAGCTTACCATGGACAACCTATAGTATACTGACTCTGAGTTGACCAGTCCTTGTCTATTCACTTACTGCCGAGCGCCAGGCAGGGTAACAACAAGTATCATCTTTTCATTATCACATGACTTATAATGCTGTCTAGGCTGCAGCTAATTGGCAGTCCTATCCTTTTTGATTCAATTATTTGTCCGCCAACTCCTATTACAGGACGTAAAGTGAAACACTCACTGTTACTGGTTAAAGTGAGTGAGTGAGTGAGTGAGTGAGTGAGTGAGTGAGTGAGTGAGTGAGTGAGTGAGTGAGTGAGTGAGTGAGGTTTTACGCTGCTTTTAGCAATATTCCAGCAATATCATGGCGGGGGACACCAGAAATGGGCTTCACACATTGTACCCATGTCGGGAATCGAACCTGGGTCTTCGGCGTGACGAGCGAAACCTTTAACCACTAGGCTACCCAACCGCCCTGTTACTGGTTAAAGCATTTGCTCTTGATGCCAAAGACCTGGGTTCGACTTCCCACATCGGTACAATGTCTGAAACCCATTTCTGGTGTCCCCCACCGTGATACTGCTGGAATATTGCTAACAGTGGTGAAAAAACATATTTACTCACTCATATATGCTGAAGAATTCATGTCGTTACAATATTGCGTTAAATTCAGAAACTATTTTTTTCAGACAATTTCACTCAACACAGTATGTAATCAGTACAAATCTTTTCTAAGCCTTGTGCTAATAATAGTTTGGTTGTTACTTAAGTACTGTTGGTGTAAGTACACAGATTGTGGCAATATACAGTCATGAATAACAATGTGACAAATAACTTTCAATGAGAATCAACAAGATGTAAATAACCAAATATTGGAAAGTCATAAAACTCATTCTTTCTACCCTTATGGGTAATATCTGTTTTCCACTCTTTGTGTAGATCAGTGTGTCATACTGACATAATCATAAGCAAGGGGAGTTAACTCTTACATGACTCAAAAACCAACTCCACATAAATATGACTCTATTCTGTTTATACACACCACTAACACTAGAATTACTGGAGTGTAAATATACCTTTCAGTGTATGTGTTACATAAGACATAGTGAGCCTTTAAGTACATATGTCAAGAGGTGAGGTGAGGTGAAATGGGGTTTAACGTCTCGTCCAAGATTACTGCACTTGTATAGCGATGTGCATGCATGTGTGTGTGTGTGTGGCTGCTTGAACTAGTCCAGACTAATGCCAATTTTAAAGTGCTAGCCCACTGAGATACCATGCCGCAGTTTAACATGAACACCCCACTCAGACACAGTATACTGACTTGTGTTAGCACTTTAATGTCAAGCACTAGGCAGGGTAACAAGTACTAACTTTTAACATCTTATGGTGTGACAAGACGGATGGAACCCTGGACCTTCTGCTCTCTGGGCAGACACTCTACCACTAGACCACGGAGGCGGTCACATATATGAAGAAAAACAAACACACACTCCAAGCACTCCACCAAACAGTTCCCCACGTACACAGTGTTCTTGAACAACTTGGTCAGTATGTCAAGCGGGAGAAGCAAAATATCAACAAGAGCCACCAGGAGATGACCTACCCCCCCGGTCTGGAGCGATTCGGAAATGGAGTTATGCTTCTTTATACCCCACCTTTGGCTCATTGCCATTGGATAACTTCAGTTCAGTGAAGAGGAAAATAAAAGTCCTTTTCAATATCCCAAGTCATCAATAGGCACCAGTTCACCACTAGACTGATCTGTATAGCAAATTTCATCAAGAAATATTCAAGAGCACTATCCTCATTTTCAGTTCTGTCCAACATGTAGTCTTTAAAAAAATAAATATTAAAAAAAAATTAATCCTAAATCATGTTTAATCCAGACAGATGGAGGACAGATGTCCGGATGGACACGCTTATTGCTATATTCTCCACCCCACCATCCACATGTTTTTCAAAATAGGGGGATATAAATTGATATGTTGGTTGATTTGAGGTTATTTCCTGTAAGATGCTATTTGTTTACTATTGCAAAGTTTAGGTTAGGTTCATCAATCAAAATTAAGATCTGTATTGAGCATGTTTATTTGGTCTTATCAACCATTCATTCTTATTTAACTGCCTAAATGTTTACCTCAGATAAGCATAAAATGAACATAAAATCTATTTTCAAAATTCCCTGAGAAATGCATACAAATGTCTCTGTGATATATGATTGCCAGGAACACTATCTAATATTGTCACAGCTTTATTTGGTGATGCCGTACTTTTCTCTGAACATACCTTAGTCGTCTCAATCTTCCAAGCATGGTCCTCCAGGAGTTTGAGGGCAGCAGGGATGTTCTTATGGGGTGTGCTGACAACTCCGCCTGGGGCCAGCCCGAGCGTGGAGGGTTCCGGAGGCTGGAGGAACATCTTCAGCAGGCACACGTACACCTGGGACGAGGACACACAGAGGTGGTACAGACACAGATATTACTACAGGAGTGGCTGTCAGGTGCCATTCAGCTTACGATTTGTTTCAAAATGACTCTTAACGAGCTAAAGTAAGTTAGATATGTTTTGAAACGCGTTGCAATGGTATAAGGTACCTGACACATGGTGCATTAATCTGTTTGTTGCACACCCTAAAACTGCACCATTTGAGCATTGAATTGATACATATTTGGAGCATTAATTCATAACACAATGGTCATAAATGACATCCCTCGGCCTACTGCTTACTACCAAACACTCATTTGACCTTCCCCAAAAAAGTTTCACCCATATATGTGTATTATTAATTCAATAATGATAATGCAAACTAGATAAGATCAAAGAACATTTATTAAACACTCAAAAACAATAAATCTTTCAACACAGGCGCAGGTGAATTCCACTGAAGCACGACAAACTTATCAATGAATGACAAACAAGAAAGTAGTCCGTCATTATCGGACCTTAGGTCATCACCATGGAGTAGCCAATCAAGACCTGGAAGTTAATCTCACACATATTTGATACCAGTTATCTCACATGGGTTTCTCAACCACAGGTGTGTAAGAAAGCACTGCCTCCTGGTATATGAGTGAGTGAGCAGTGTTCCAGTCATACACAAGGGGTCAAACAGAAACAGCTTCCAACAGTGTTTTTGGTGTGACGAGCGAACACTTTAACCAGTAAGCTACCCGATCATCCTTGTACCAAAATAGGCCAGGTGTATCATTGTTTTGCTCGAGTCTTTTTCTGTCCCTGAATCCTCATCAGTAGGTGAATGTGTGCCACTGAAAGTCTGTCCGACGTCAAAGTTCTCCAAGCAAAGTGTTGCTGGATGGGTAAAAATTTTTTGTGGCACTGTATCCTCAGCTTGGCAAGTGGAGGCTTAAACCACTAGGTTCACCACAACCAGCAACTGACCCTAAAGAAGTGATCATGTCTAACAGGCAGGTTGGGCCAGAGAGAATCAAGGACACCAAAATAGGACTGGTTAAAAAATAAACCAAATCAAATTTTGAAAAGATGGTGTTTTGAAAAAGGCAGCGTTTATTAAAACAATACATAACCAGCTAAATTTGTTTTCGAGGACTAAGAGGTAGTCAACAAACTTAGTTCAAACGTCTATGAAACCTTTTTCAACAACACATTCAGATCCAAATTTCTCGAAAACTGTTATCTCGAACCTATTCTCCGATAATGACCGCATCACCAAATAAGTACATATAAATTTTCCTGTTTATCTCAAATTCCAGGTAAAAAAACATCCTGACTCTTGGTCTTGGTCCCAAGTGTTACTTTTTATACAGAATGTTGTACATTTATGCCAGAGTTGGCATTTGCCACATAACTGTTTTGAGAAGTTTGGATATGCATCTCACAAATACATTTCAATTTGTCATTACATGCTTGTGTTGTGTTCTTAATTTCTTGTGTCAACAATTGTTTTGCTATGTATCTATCATAGTGAATTCTTTGAAGTTGAAGGATGACAAAGTAGACACAATTTATGGATAACAACATCTTTAATAATGTAAAGGCGACGTTTCGGTATACATAGTCTTGCTTAACAACGGTATAAGGATCTATATGGGAACGTCACCTTTTTAGTATTAAAGAAGTTGTTATAAATAAATTGTGTCTACTTTGTTATCTATCATAGTGTTACTTGATCTGTCTTGATGTTCATGCCTCATTATCTTGAATGTCTGGATATCTCGAAGTAATAATATGGCTTGGCTAGGTTGGAAGTAACAGGGTTCAACTGTATTTACTAGGCAACTATATAACCATTTTGCGCTGCTGTTTTCTGTAAACAATGTGGGAAATACACAAGAACACGTGGACTGTCATGTAAATTGTCAGTCTAATACAGGGTCGCTTATAAAGATTACAGATTTGTGTATAATTTGGAGCATATTGGAGTGGGGCGTTTTATACAGCAAATACGGTATTTAGTCAGCCACTGTGACCACTTAATCACCATTTCAGCTGCATCACACTCGTGCATTCATATCATTGCTAGAACTTCCTGTCAGTTAAATGAATGATGAACTGTTTTCAACTTACATCTTTGTTTCCTTCCTTGTCCTTATCGAAGTGTGTCCGACAATAACTGCAAAAATTATAGAACATATCACAGACATGCTCCCGTCACTGAGGTTTTTGGTTAGAGTGCATAATCCCTCAATTATTAATTTTAATATTTAACTTTGAACCATGTTAGAACATAAATCTACTGGTGAAAGATATATTTTCATATTGACATAAACCAGCAATGTCATGATGGCCTTTCAAAAATCGTGTCTGGGTCAGGCAAAGTAGCGGCTTACAGCATGATCCATCCATTGGGGTTTGAGGACACAAAATCACCCAGGTCACATATTGTTACACCAAAATGGAATTGAGTGGTCAGGCTCAGTGACTTCGTTGATAGTGTGTTGTTGACCCTAACGACATGGATTGTTGTTCACAATATCAATCACTGGATCGTACGGTCCAGACTCTATTATATATACCGTAATCGACGTAATAAGCGCCCACGGCGATATTTGCTAATATATTGGCTAGTGAACAATACCAATTAGAACCCCTTCCGATTGATCAATGTACACAACACTTATTTATTCGCGTATAATACGTACGTGTGTTATATGCACCCTTAATTATGGGCATTTAAATTCTGGAAAAATGTATCTCTCGTATATAAACAGTTCAGGCTGTCAGCATAAACCACGAAATTTATCTTTCAACTCCGTCTTTTTCACCAAAATAATATTCAAATAAGAGCCCCCTATTTCTAATTTTGAGAGCGCCCTGGGCGCTTATTAGGTCGAATACGGTAGGCTGACATGGTATAGAAATATATAGCCGAGTAGATTTGAATATCTGCTGCTACCACCAGGATCTACACCCCAGGCGGCTCCACTCAGGCTCGCGCCCCAAGTATCGACACTCACCAAACCCATATTGTAACAACTGAATCCCCATTTTACTTGGTTCCTGCAACAGGCATGGCGTACCTATTCTGCCCCAGCATCTCCACAGGGGTCAAGCTACAGGATTTGTTTTGTTTGTTTGTTGTTTAACGTCGCACTCAGCAATATTCCAACTATATGACGGCGTTCTGTAAATAATCGAGTCTGGACCAGACAATCCACTGATTGACATCATGATCATCAATCCACACAATTGGAATACGTTGACATGCATCAAACAAGTCAGTGAGTCTGACCACCCGATCCCTTCAGTCGCCTCTTACGACAAGCATAGATGCCTTTTACAGCAAGCATGGGTTGCTGAAGACCTATTCTTCCCCGGATCTTCACAGGTCCTCAAGCTACAGGAAGGGAGATCATGGTCAAGTTGTGGTACACATACACTTCAGCCAGACGGGGGTCCTTGAGGATGTGGATGTAGATGCCCAGAGCCTGTTCGTGTCTCCCCAGGCGGCCCAGTAGGATTGCTCTCTCCTCGTAGAACTCTGAACAACACAATGCAGGTCAAGGTCAAGGTCAAGGTTGCTGCAGGGCAACATGTACATGGTGAGCTAAAATGAATCACATGTGTTTATAGTCAGATGAATGGGATTTTCCAAGATAACGTGAGTGAGTTGAGTTTAACGCCGCTTTTAACAGTATTCCAGTTATATCACAGTGTGTCAGCTTAATGTGGGAGGAAAGCCCCAAGTGATGCAGGTCTTAGACGTTTACCACTTCGGTGAAACCCACAAGCATGGGTATTGTGCTGATAAACCTAGAAACATAATCGGGGTGAACCGGGATTCAAACCCACAATCATAGGTTTCTGGCGTGCCCAAGGGACGCAACTCTGCACAGCGAAACGCGAAACAACTGGGCCACCCGTGTCCCCTCCAAGATAACATTTCTTGCACATAAGGTAGAGGCTTGTAAATTCTGTACACCCTGCTCTGACAGATCTAACAAACTAATGATCATAAATTCACAACCAACAAACACTTTTAATATTTTTCTGTGACAATTAGGTCTATTTTGTGTCAGCTGAAATTCAGTTATAAAGTGCCAACATTTAAATTATGATATCACATCAAATATATTTTGTTGCCAGCCAAGTTAAATGTCTTTTTACCACACAATAAAGGCCAATTGCCTATAGGATACAATAATTTTATAGCACCCAGATACCAAGAATAAAGATCATAAATAACCAGGATACTGCCAACATTAATATAGTCAGTATTCTATTGAAGGCAATCAGTAAGATAAATACTTCTCCCATCAGTTATTGTTATACTTGTTTAAGTCACAAGTACTTGTAATGTCCTCCACCACTTACTATCTAGCGGGAACCTGGCCAGCAGCATCTCGGGAACGTAGTGCTGGGACGTCTGCAGGAACACCACCAGCTTCACCCTGTACTCCTCCAACTCTGCCGGCTCGTCTTTTGATTTGTCGAGACGATCTCCTGCTGGACAGAGGTCACTGACACTTTATCGTCTCCATCTACACTCACGTATTCAGTACTGACACACTCCCATTTACAGTACTGACACACCCATTAACAGTACTGACACTCCCATTTACAGTACTGACACCCTCACATTTACAGTACTGACACCCTCACATTTACAGTACTGACACACTCACATTTACAGTACTGACAGTCACATTTACAGTACTGACAGTCACATTTACAGTACTGACATCATCACATTTACAGTACTGACACTCCCATTTACAGTACTGACACTCCCATTTACAGTACTGACAGTCACATTTACAGTACTGACACTCCCATTTACAGTACTGACACTCTCACATTTACAGTACTGACACCCTCACATTTACAGTACTGACACTCTCACATTTACAGTACTGACACCCTCACATTTACAGTACTGACACACTCACATTTACAGTACTGACACCCTCACATTTACAGTACTGACACTCTCACATTTACAGTACTGACACCCTCACATTTACAGTACTGACACACTCACATTTACAGTACTGACAGTCACATTTACAGTACTGACAGTCACATTTACAGTACTGACATCATCACATTTACAGTACTGACACTCCCATTTACAGTACTGACACTCCCATTTACAGTACTGACAGTCCCATTTACAGTACTGACACTCCCATTTACAGTACTGACAGTCACATTTACAGTACTGACACACTCCCATTTACAGTACTGACACCCTCACAGTTACAGTACTGACAGTCACATTTACAGTACTGACACCGTCCCATTTACAGTACTGACACACTCACATTTACAGTACTGACACACATTTACAGTACTGACACACTCACATTTACAGTACTGACACTCCCATTTACAGTACTGACACACTCACATTTACAGTACCAACACACTCACATTTACAGTACCGACACACTCACATTTACAGTACTGACACACTCACATTTACAGTACCGACACACTCACATTTACAGTACTGACACTCATATTCACAACACTGAGAGCACATGGTTCATTACCAGGTCACCTGACTGGTGAGGGGGGCATTCTTTTCTACTATTAGGCAGTGAGCTTTGCTTTGAAAAAACTGGTGTATTTCACATTGTCTGGATAATGTAGGGGGAAACCCAAAAGGACACAGGTCAGACATTTACCACTTTGGTAAAACCCACAAGCAAAAGTAGATGCTCACACACCAAGGATCATAATCAGAAGAAATCAAGGATCAGAACTATTGACCAGGAGATCTTGCCATGTAAATGTCAGCTGTAGACAACAACGCAACCCTCGCCCCTCAACAATCAGCAGCAGTGCACGGTGAGTGCATGGGGTCCTACACCCTCTAAGCATGTAAATGTCAGCTGTAGACAACTAGGCTACCCTCGCCCCTCACAAATCAGCAGCAGTGCACGGTGAGAGAGTAGGGTCCTACACCCTCTTAGCATGTAAATGTCAGCTGTAGACAACTAGGCTACCCTCACCCCTCACAAATCAGCAGGAGTGCACGGTGAGTGCATGGGGTCCTACACCCTCTTGCCATGTAAATGTCAGCTGTAGACAACAATGCAACCCTCGCCCCTCAACAATCAGCAGCAGTGCACGGTGAGTGCATGGGGTCCTACACCCTCTAAGCATGTAAATGTCAGCTGTACACAACTGGGCTACCCTCGCCCCTCACAAATCAGCAGCAGTGCACGGTGAGAGAGTAGGGTCCTACACCCTCTTAGCAGTATTTTAACACAAGAAATGGGTTGCACATATGGTACATCATCACTAGGCTACCCTGGAAGCACCACAAGCAGGTCCTGACAATGTATCAAGGGTAAACCCAAAGCAGGCTAACCTTCAGGGAGAGACTCGACATAATCCTCAGCTAGTGTCTGGATCTTCTCTCGGTACAGGTGCACTAGGCGGTTGTGGAACTCTGGTGTCTCGTCATCACATTGAGAAATTATATGTTCCTGGAATAATGATATATACATGGTGTTTACTTTGTATAATAAAAAAAGGCAGGACCAGTTAATTTTCTTGTTTTATGAAACATTCTTCGGTACAGTTTGTATAAGTCAAAAATAATGTTAATCATTCTGGTTTCATTCTGGGATTCTATTGAAAAACAAATTGTTCCATAAAATGGTTGAATTGTTTTTGTACTTCTGACCGTTGCCAAACAAGAAATATTCTGCCACATATGAAACGGTCAGACATATACTTTTCAAACCATGCAATTCGCTTATCAAGGCATGGCATATCAGTATGAAATTCAATGAAATTCCTGAAAGTCTAACATATCACTGTAACAGATGGATTCATGTGTAACGATACTGATCATATACTGGTACATGGATATTCCTATCTGGTCTAAGTGATGGTGTGTAAGACTCAAATTGCAGCGCATGTATGAGGGTGATACTTAATATTTCTGGAATATGCTGTTCTCAGAACTCACAAGATAAGGAATAGCCAGATCTTTCCCCGTCCTCTCTAGAAACTCTAGCACCTCATCTCTCGGAAGACTTTCAATCTCAGGTGTATCCTCAGTAAATATCTGGGGACCAAACGAGAGTATTTCACCATTAACATTTTCCTGTGTTTACAGTTTGCCATTGTCATTGACACCTACATGACAGCATTCTGTAAATAACCACGTCTGGACCAGACAATCCAGCGATTGATATTATGACCACGAATCGGAACAATGTGGATACAAAGACATGCAATCAAGTCACTCAGCCTGACCACACAATCCAGGTTGCTGTAGACCTATATCCCTATCTGCAACCCTCATGGCTGCAAAGGCAAAGACAGCTAAGCCTAAAACATTCCTGCTTAGAAAAGTCTTCAAGCACCACATGGACCCCCACCCCCAGCACTACCTGGGCCCCTAACACCAAATGGGCCCCTAGCACGACATAGGCCCCCAGCACCAAATGGGCCCCCAGCACCAACACATGGGTCGCCTAGCACCACATGGCCATGCACTCCACATGGCCCCCCAGCACCACCTGGGCCCCTTACACCACATAGGCCCCCAGCTCCAGATCGGCCCCCTAGCACCACCAGGGCACCCCAGCACCACATGAGCCCCCTAGCACCACCAGGGCACCCCAGCAACACATTGGCACCCCAGCAACACATGGGCACCCCAGCACCACATGAGCCCCCTAGCACCACATGGGCCCCCAGCACCACATGAGCCCCCTAGCACCACATGGGCCCCCAGCACCACATGGACACCCCTGCACCACATTGGCCCCAAACAGCACATGGGCTCTAGCACCACATGGGCCCCCAGAACCACATGGGCCCTAGCACCACATAGGCCCCAGCGTCTCAACCTCAAGTTTAAAAATATACAAATGGTAAAAAGAATAGTCTTTCATAACTTTATGAAGATACTGGTAACTTCCATAACAAATTCTTAATGTTTTCCTCATGTTTTTAAAATTACCAGTGGGCGAAAGAAGTGCCTTAACAAGCCTCGTCCTTCATCTGCTTATAAACGATGCAACAAAGGTTGAGTACACAAGACAAGACTAATGCAGCAGTGACAGCAGCACCCACCTTCAGCCCATCCTCCGGGTGTTTCCTCAGCACCCACTCAGAATACTCAAATATCAAAGCCAGATGTTCAGCACCTGCAAAATACGCAGTAGTCGTCACGTCTATCCTGCACAAGGGCTGTAATGAATGTTACTAATGATGCTTCAAAGTTGTTCATGGCCCGAAGACACATTAATATAGAGCTATATTTTAAACAGTTAACACTCATACCATATTACACTACTGTTATTATTAATGGACATAAAAAAATAAAATTTGATACGTGATGTTAATAATTCATTTATTTTATGAATAATCAATAATTTCCATTCAAACTGATCTAAAATACACCATGCCTGAAGAGATGTAGACAGTGGCATTTACTTGGTTATAAGTAAGCAAGCAATTTATATTTCCATAAAACACCCCAAAAGAAAGGACAAGCCAACCCCACTATCAGGCTACTGTTTCCTTATTTGCTGACGAGTGAGTGAGTGAGTGAGTGAGTGAGTGAGTGAGTGAGTGAGTGAGTGAGTGAGTGTGAGTGAGTGAGTGAGTGAGTGAGTGAGTGAGTGAGTGAGTGAGTGAGTGAGTGAGCGAGCGAGGTTTTACGCCACTTTTAGCAATATTCCAGCAATATCACAAATGGGCTTCACACATTGTACCCATGTCGGGAATCGAACCCGGGTCTTCGGCGTAATGAGCGAATGCTTTAACCACTAGGCTACACGACCATCCCGACAATAGAGTGAGCAGAGCCTGTGTTGCATTATTGCACTTAACGATGTCGCTGATTTTGTATTGTTGTCTACAGGCATTTGTGCTAATTATTAAATAAGCAGCCTGTGAAGTTATTATTGTTGACATATTTAAGTATGGACCAGACAATCCAGTGATTGACATCATGAGCATCAATCTATGCAACTGGGATATGATGACATGCATCAACCCAACCACCCGATCCTGTTAGTCACCTCTTACAACAAGCATAGTCACCTTTTACGGCAAGAATGGGTTGCTGAGGACCTATTCTACCTGGGACATATTTATGAATAAGAAGTGATTTCAGTACAGTTTGACTATTGCAGTCAGTTTATAAATAATCAGAGGCACCACCCTTACCATGTTAACTCCCTAACAACATCTTAAACAATATTCTCCAGAACCAAGGACAAGGAGGACGTGTTAGGAAATCCATGCTGTAGTACAGTACATGTATATATCATGCTATTGGAGTACGATTTCAATAGTTGTGCCTACACTGAGACAGTATTAAATACAGTACTTAACTATCACAATACTATTGCAATATCGGTAGTAAATTACCCCAATCAACTGAACTAAGATACTATGAACTAGAAAACAACTTTGACATAGGGTCATAGTCAGTGTACAATTCTCTTCATTTCTCAACATTCAGTAGAAGACTGTGTTGCTGATACGTTTTGTACATAAAATGTGTCTTACATAAAATAGTGACAAACATCATAGTGGTTTTGTGTTATCATCATGGCTGTTAGCTGTTAATAGATATGCCTGACAATATTTACAATATTGATAAAAACAAGAACTTTCCTCCTCATCCTGCTGAGACTGTTAACAAATTTCAGCCAAAACAACTCCAACATAGATCGTGAAGGGAAGGGAAGTAACTTTCAACCCCCTAATGGTTTTGATACATTACTGTGAACCAAGAATTGTAATACAGTTATGACGTCACTCATTGTTTCAACGGTAAATTATTGGACAGTTTACCGATAATTTTTCTGCAATGTAAATTTTAAGCTCATGCATGTACTGCCTACAAATGATCAAATCACACAAGATGCATGTGCAATACAAATCTACAGGCAAGTTAAAACACAGCATGGATATCAAAGCACAAAGTTAAAGACTGTATGATGAAAGTAATGCATGAAAGTTCCTTGCATCATATTTGTGTTTTATTCATTTTTAAGTATTTACTGATTTATTTTAACTCCAGCTGTATTTAAAATCTGATTACGCAATATTTTGTTATAAACTGTGTGTCAGATAACGCATGTGACATTCACTACATATAATGATACTCATCAGTTTTGACGGCTAGTACATTATTTGTAACAAATGTCCATTTATGTGTACGTTATCCTTGACATAACAAGAAAAGCTGTAGATGTTGATGTAGATGTTGATGTGGATGTTGCAGCTCCTACCTAGATGCTGCAGGTACTGGACTGTCCGGTCATGGCCTTTGAGGGGAGAGTCAGGCCGAGCTGCCTGCTTCATCAATAGGTTCAGGGCTGGCAACGAAAGGTACAACTATGTTCAGTACTGACAAGCATCTTCTTTTCTTTCATTAAGATCTGGATGAGGTGTGAATAATTTTTATACATATTGTTGATTACAGTTAACACTTGTGGTTAAAACATCACATTATTTCTTCCATACAGGAAATGTATGGAAATGGACACAGCCATGCTGTAAATACATGTATCAACATACCTTTCTGAGTGGGTATTGTGTTTCATGAATCAACATTGCACCTATCTTGGGAATCAAACCTGGGATTTTGGCATGATTTAACACATTACCCACTAGACTACCGTAATGGCCCCACCTTTCACATGAAGAGACATATTTCTGAGACCCACCTTGCAGATGGAGAGTTATCTTACTTAGCAAGACCCACCTTTCTGATGGAGACTCACCTTTCTGATGGAGACCCATTTTTCTGATGGAGACCCATTATCTGATGGAGACCCACCTTTCTGATGGAGACCCACTTTTCTGATTGAGACCCATTTTACTGATCGAGACCCACTTTCTGATGAAGACCTACTTTTCTGATAGAGACCCACTTTTTTTCATTGAGACCTACCTTTCTGACTGAGACGAGCCTCTCTGATCAGGACCCATCTTTCTGATAAGGGCCCACTTTTCTTATTGAGACCCATCTTTCTGATGGAGACATACCTTTCTGATTGAGACCCATCTTTCTGATGGACACCCACCTTTTTGATTGAGACCTTTCTTCTCATACAGGATGATGAGCTCACTGAACTTCTCCTTCTTCTTGAGCACCCGTTCGCTCTCCTCCACGTGGCAGTTGTTGTCCTTCAGTCTCAGCAGCGGGGCCACCAGCGCATCATTTGTCTACAACCATCACAGCACCATCAACACATGGGTGTACAGTGGACCAACCTCAGCCAGCGGGCACCAGTACACTTTACAAGGTCAGATTGCTGTGAGAAAGTGAATGTTTTTGAACCAAGTCCTCAGCATTGCATCCATATCAAGGGAGTCTAAGTAATTGAGTTTGGACCACACAAACCAATGGTTGACATCATGAACAATGATCCATGCTGTTGGGCTACAATGACAAACAAGCAGCATTGCCACACATGATCACTACTGAAGTTGACTTTTACAACAAGCATGGGGTAACCGATACCTGATCTGCCTGGAATTCTAACAGCGAGAAACCTGACCTCCATCTTCCACTTGGATAAGTTTGCATCATTACTGCGGTCAATATCAAGAACCCAATGAAGATCTGGAACTGGTCTTTAGCAACATTTTCTGTTTCCCCCATGAAGATCTGGGTAAGAACTGGTCTTAGCAACCCTTGCTGTCTCCCCCCATGAAGATCTGGGAAAGAACTGGTCTTCAGCAACCCTTGCTGTCACCCCCCATGAAGATCTGGGAAAGAACTGGTCTTCAGCAACCCTTGCTGTCTCCCCCCATGAAGATCTGGGTAAGAACTGGTCTTCAGCAACCCTTGCTGTCACCCCCCATGGAGATCTGGGTAAGAACTGGTCTTCACCAACCCTTGCTGTCACCCCCCATGAAGATCTGGGTAAGAACTGGTCTTCAGCAACCCTTGCTGTCTCCCCCCATGAAGATCTGGGAAAGAACTGGTCTTCAGCAACCCTTGCTGTCACCCCCCATGAAGATCTGGGTAAGAACTGGTCTTCAGCAACCCTTGCTGTCTCCCCCCATGAAGATCTGGGTAAGAACTGGTCTTCAGCAACCCATGTTTGTCGTAAGAGGTGACTAACAGGATCAGGTGGTCAGGCTTGCTGACTTGGTTGATGCATGTCATTGTATCCAAAGTTCAAAGATTGATGCTCATGATCTCAATCATTAGATTGTGTGGTTCATACTTGATTATTTACTGACTGCCATCATATAGCTGGAATATTCCTGAGTACAACTGCCGGCATAACCAACCAATAAACAAACAATAGCAAGAATACCAACAGTGTATCTGACAAATGAGTTGCATTTCCTCAAATTAACACTAACATAGATTGCACTCCTACTGCTGTTAACAAGTGTTTTTACACAACTAAATAGCCTTGAAATGAGCTCCAGCTAGTCGGTATTATCAATTCTCACCTGGAGGTAGCATTTAAGGAGTGTTGTGTCTATGATCTGGCTCAGCTGCTTCTTGGAGCGGATGGTGACGTTGCCCTCGACAATGGCCGTTGTTGCCATGTCCTTGTTCAGGTCCTTGAGTAACTGGTTTCTCTTCTGTAACACAAAGTGTGAGTGATTATAACACAATGTTGCAGTGGGTATAACACATTGTTGCAGTGTGAATAACACAATGTGACAGTGGGTATAACACAATGTGGTAGGGGGTATAACACAATGTGGGAGTGGGTATAACACAATGCGGCAATGGGTATACCACAATGTGGGTGTGGGTATAACACAATGTGGGAGTAGGTATAACACAATGTATGAGTTGGTATAACACAATGTTGCAGTGGGTATAACACAATGTGGTGCTGGGTTATATATAACACATTGTAGGATTGGGTATAACACAATGTGGGAGTGGGTATAACACAATGCAGCAGTGGGTATAACACAATGTGGGAGTAGGTATAACACAATGTGGGAGTGGGTATAACACAATGTGGTGCTGGGTGATATATAACACATTGTAGGAGTGGGTATAACACAGTGTAGGAGTGTGTATAACACAATGTGGTGCTGGGTTATATATAACACATTGTAGGAGTGGGTATAAGACCATGTGGGAGTGGGTATAACACAATGGGGCAGTGGGTATACCACAATGTGGGAGTAGGCATAACACAATGTAGGAGTGTGTATAACACATTGTAGGAGTGGGTATAACACAAAGTGGTGCTGGGTTATATATAACACAATGTGGCAGTGGGTATAACACAATGCGGCAATGGGTATACCACAATGTGGGGGTGGGAATAACACAATGTGGGAGTAGGTATAACATAATGTGGGAGTGAGTATAACACAATGTGGTGCTGGGTGATATATAACACATTGTGGGAGTGGGTATAACACAATGGGGCAGTGGGTATACCACAATGTGGGTGTGGGTATAACACAATGTTGGAGTGGGTACACAATGTAGGAGTGTGTATAACACAATGTGGGAGTGGGCATAACACAATGTGGTGATGGGTTATATAAACACATTGTAGGAGTGGGTATAAAAAAAATGTGGTGCTGGGTTATATATAACACCATGTGGGAGTTGGAGTGGGTACACAATGTAGGAGTGTGTATAACACAATGTGGGAGTGGGCATAACACAATGTGGTGATGGGTTATATAAACACATTGTTGCAGTGGGTATAACACAATGTGGTGCTGGGTTATATATAACACATTGTAGGATTGGGTATAACACAATGTGGGAGTGGGTATAACACAATGCAGCAGTGGGTATAACACAATGTGGAAGTGGATATAACATAATGTGGGATTGGGTATAACACAATGTGGTGCTTGGTTATATATCACACATTCTAGGAGTGGGTATAACACAATGTTGTGCTGGGTTATATATAACACATTGTAGGAATGGGTATAACACAATGTGGTGCTGGGTGATATATAACACAATGTGGGTGTGGGTATAACACAATGTTGGAGAAGGTATAACACAATGTAGGAGTGTGTATAACACATTGTGGGAGTGGGTATAACACAATTGGGCAGTGGGTATACCACAATGTGGGTGTGGGTATAACACAATGTTGGAGTAGGTATAACACAATGTAGGAGTGTGTATAACACAATGTGGGAGTTGGTATAACACAATGTGGTGCTGGGTTATATAAACACATTGTAGGAGTGGGTATAAAAAAAGTGGTGCTGGGTTATATATAACACCATGTGGGAGTGTGTATAACACAATGTGGAAGTGGATATAACACAATGTGGGATTGGGTATAACACAATGTGGCAGTTGGTATAATACAATGTGGTGCTTGGTTATATATCACACATTGTAGGAGTGGGTATAACACAATGTTGTGCTGGGTTATATATAACACATTGTAGGAATGGGTATAACACAATGTGGTGCTGGGTGATATATAACACATTGTGGGAGTGGGTATAACACAATGGGGCAGTGGGTATACCACAATGTGGGTGTGGGTATAACACAATGTTGGAGTAGGTATAACACAATGTGGGAGTGGGTATAACACATTGTGGGAGTGGGTATAACACAATGGGGCAGTGGGTATACCACAATGTGGGTGTGGGTATAACACAATGTTGGAGTAGGTATAACACAATGTAGGAGTGTGTATGTAACACATTGTAGGAGTGGGTATAACACAATGTGGTGCTGGGTTATATAAACACATTGTAGGAGTGGGTATAACACAATGTGGTGATGGGTTATATATAACACATTGTAGGAGTGAGTATAAAAATATGTGGTGCTGGGTTATATATAACACCATGTGGGAGTGTCTATAACACAATGTGGAAGTGGATATAACACAATGTGGGATTGGGTATAACACAATGTGGCAGTTGGTATACCGTATATCGCTGTGTATAAGGCGAGTTTTTCGTACCTAAAATGAGGGGGCTAAGAAGGGGGGGCGTCTTATACACGGAGTCGAAGATCTCACATTTTTTTCCACTGGCGATGTCAACCGGCGTCCGACAGCCAGCCCAGCATTTGACAATAAAACTTCGCATTTCGTCCTAAATAACTGTTCCAATAACTATTTCCATACATAAACATGATTTGTATCTCTTTTCCTTGAATAAAGTTTAATAATTTCTGCAAATAAAGTTGAAATGACCCTCGCCTCGATGCAGATTGTCAAACCACCTGACACGGTAAAACAATCAACATCCGTGAGCAGAGAGCCGGAAGTACCGGTAAGCATTTGCATATTGCACATGTGACCTAACATGTGATAACCGGTGAAGCTGAAATCAATTCCCGCTGTTTTTACAGTTGTATTAACAAGTGTTGGAGACGGTGTGTACAAGTGATTGTGGAATAAACACGCTGAATGTGAAGCAAACATAAGCCTAGTTAGTTACAACATAGTTAATTGGCGATTAAATTACTCACCATTGTCTCTTATATGTCATTACTTCATAAATGAATTTTATTTTACGGGCACCAATTTGGTGTCGTACCGTGTAAACACAAAATGGCGACGTGTGCTGGAGTTACACACGCGACCTATCATTGTAGAAAAAAAACAACGCAAGATAAAAATATTTTTATTGCATATATAAGGTTTGTGTGCGCACTTGTGATGTGTGCGAAATACGCATCAGTCGGAAAGCGCACGTTAAATCTCCAAAGTAACTAACTAACTTGTGATGTCCGTGTGCGAAATACGCTACAGTCGGAAAGCGCACGTTAAATCTTCTATATCAGTCAGACTTGTGATGTGTTTCATTCCCGGTCGCCTTATACACGGAGTACAGGATTTTGGGTTGATTTTTAAGGCGTGTACAGGGGGGTCGTCTTGTACGTGGGGTCGCCTTATACACAGCGATATACGGTAATACAATGTGGTGCTTGGTTATATATCACACATTGTAGGAGTGGGTATAACACAATGTTGTGCTGGGTTATATATAACACATTGTAGGAATGGGTATAACACAATGTGGTGCTGGGTTATATATAACACAATGTGGGAGACGATATAACACAATGTAGGAGTGGGTATAATTCAATATGGTGATGGGTTATATATAACACATTGTAGGAGTGGGTATAACACACTGTGGTGCTGGGTTATATATAACACAATGTGGGAGTGGATATAACACAATGTGAGATTGGGTATAACACAATGTTGTGCTGGGTTATATGTAACACATTGTAGGAGTGGGTATAACACAAAGTGGTATATAACACAATGTGGGAGTGGGTATAACACAATGTGGTGCTGGGATATATATAACACAATGTGGGAGTGGGTATAACACAATGTGGGAGTGGGTATAATACAATGTGGTGCTGGGATATATATAACACATTGTAGGAGTGGGTATAATGCTATCTGGTGCTCTTCTAAACTCACAGGCACTTACTGGCATTTGACATACGTCAGCAGTTCAATTATTCAACACTCATCATGTCTCCATGACATCCTAATCACAGGCAATTTGCAAGCAAAACTGACAATGTACTGAACATAACTACTGGCTACAGACCAGTTGTCCCCATTAGATCCGTGCTGTTTCTGAAATGTTCCATGTAAGCTGACTTTAACACAAACTTTGTCTGTTGTGAAACTATGAGCAAATGCGCTTCTGTCCATGGTAAGATTTTAGTCTATACTTTTTTCACTGTGACTAGAGGGAATCAAAGCAGTGGAAATAGAACTTTCCCATCGAGGAACTGTACTCGTTATCACCATCCAGTGATTAATATTGTGAGCAACGATCTGTAAGGGTACGATGACATGCATCAACCAAGTCATCCAGCCTGACCACGTGGTCCCCTTAGTCGCTTACGAACCAGCACAGGTAGCTGAGGACCGATTCTAAGCTGGATCTTCATGGGGTGTACTATGTTACTATCAGTAAGACACATCACTTAGTCATGTGTCCTAGGACAACCTACATCAGTGAGATAATCAATGAGTGCAAGCAGTCCTTTCTCCAGCTCCCCACCCTCCAGGTCCGGCAGTCGGTCAGGATACTCCAGCTGGTTCCGGAAGTCCTGGGGCAGCAGGTTGGGGTATAACCCAATCACATGAGACGGATCTGAAACAGGGACGGTGGTATTTATACATAGACAACTGCTTCCTTAACTTGATGGCAGTCATGAAGTGAATGGAATCATTTGATGCAAGTTTAAAAATACTTTAAGGGACAAGAACAACCCAAGGGGCAGATGTGAGTGAGTGAGTGAGTGAGTGAGTGAGTGAGTGAGTGAGTGAAGGGGTGAAGGAGTGAGTGAGTGAAGGAGTGAGGTGAGTGAATGAGTGAGTGAATGAGTGAGTGAATGAGTGAGGTGAAAGAATGAGTGAGTGAATGAGAGGTGAAAGAATGGGTGAGGTGAAAGAACGAGTGAGGTGAAAGAATGAGTGAATGAGAGGTGAAAGAATGAGTGAGTGATTGAGTGAGGTGAAAGAATGAGTGAGTGAATGAGTGAGGTGAAAGAATGAGAGTGAATGAGTGAGGTGAAAGAATGAGTGAGTGAATGAGTGAGGTGAAAGAATGAGTGAGTGAATGAGAGGTGAAAGAATGAGTGAGTGATTGAGGGAGGTGAAAGAATGAGTGAGTCAATGAGTGAGGTGAAAGAATGAGTGAGGTGAAAGAACGATTGAGGTGAAAGAATGAGTGAATGAGAGGTGAAAGAATGAGTGAGTGATTGAGTGAGGTGAAAGAATGAGTGAGTGAATGAGCTAGGTGAAAGAATGAGTGAGTGACTGAGTGAGAGAAGGAGTGAGTGAAAGAGTGGATGAACGGTTATATTCTCATGGGTGAGGGAGCGTGGGAACGAAGGAGGGGAGAAGTGAATTTGTGTATGCAGGCAATGCTTCTTATTAAACTACTTCAGTCAACAATGATATATAATGTTGGTGAAAAGGAACTGTCTGCAGGGGATGAGACAGTGTGACCCTCAACACACTGCATACCTGTCCCGAGAGAGTCAAATATCTTCATGGACTCCTCAAACTTGTGCTGACAGAACAGGTCGAAGGCGTACAGGTTGTTGATGTTCCTGATCCTCTTCTCCTTCTCAGACTCGGGCTCATCTTGCATGTCCTGTAACCATGGCAACCAGTAGACGTTGACAGCATGAGCAACAACTAATGATAATAACACTGTTTAATAATGATAATAATAGTCATTTGTTGAGCGCCTGTCTCCAGTTAGTGATAACTGTTCAAAGGTGTCAAGGAAAGAAAGAACAGCTTTGACATTTGGTTAAATAGGCTATTCTACTGATGTTGCATCTCCTCTTAATCAAATCACTTCAAATGATAGCTGTGAAAATTAAAGACTTTTCAGAGAATTTTCAAAACATGAATTTAAAACAAAGTTGAAAATAAAGACTACCATGGCAGGAGAGAGGGAAAATAAAGATGCATTTGAGTATAAAATTTACAACACGCTGGCATGGAAATCAAACTTATGTTTCTTGGTATAATTTCTGCAAATTTGAGAGATCACTGTAGTTTGATCAAAGCAAACTAAAAGGCTAAATGCTCCGGTGGCTTTGCAGTGACAGATTCTTCAAGGGATAAACTACTTACAGCTAAGTGAAGAGCCAGTTTGAACTCCTTTCCCTGAAGCAGCTGTTTAATCTGGTGAGAGATGGGTGTGGGGGCCAGTCTCCACACAAAGTTGGACGAAGCTACATATACAGTGTTACTGAAAATATAACACAGGAACAACAGCTTCAGGAATATATAATGATTTAGGCAAATTAATATTAACACAAACTCCAGTAACTTGTTATGAACTCAAATTCCCTTAACTCATTATAAACTCATACTCCTTTAACTAATAATAAACTCAAACTCCTTTAACTCACTATAAACTCAAACTCCTTTAACTCACTACAAACTCCTTTAACTAATTATAAACTCAAACTCCTTTAACTCATTATAAACTCATACTCCTTTAACTAATTATAAACTCAAACTCCTTTAAATAATTATAAACTCAAATTCCCTTAACTCATTATAAACTCATACTCCTTTAACTAATAATAAACTCAAACTCCTTTAACTCACTATAAACTCAAACTCCTTTAACTCACTACAAACTCCTTTAACTAATTATAACTTAAACTCCTTTAACTCATTATAAACTCATACTCCTTTAACTAATTATAAACTCAAACTCCTTTAACTAATTATAACTCAAACTCCTTTAACTCACTATAAACTCAAACTTCTTTAACTCACTATAAACTCAAACTTCTTTAACTCACGATAAACTCATACTCCTTTAACTAATTATAAACTCAAACTCCTTTAACTCATTATAAAGCCAAACTCCTTCATAAACTCAAACTCCTTTAACTCATTATAAAGCCAAACTCCTTCATAAACTCAAACTCCTTTAACTCATCATAAAGCCAAACTCCTTTAACTCATTATAAAGTTTAACTCATTTAACTCATTATAAAGCCAAACTCCTTCATAAACACAAACTCCTTTAACTCATCATAAGCCAAACTCATTTAACTCATTATAAAGTCTAACCCCTTTAACTCATTATGAAATCAAACTCCTTTAACTCATTACGTCAAACTCCTTTAACTCATTCAATGTCAAACCCCTTTAACTCATAATAAACTCAAACTCCCTTAACTCATTATAAATTCTAACTCTTTAAATCACTCATAACAATGTGACAAAAACTGAATATGTAAACACTATTGTACCTCAAAGTTGTCCAATTTACAAAGGTTACAGACCTCAGTTTATTTTACTGACTTGTCATAGTGAAACAATTTGCTCAATTACCTCAAGTTTTTGTGGATATACCTCTATGACTTCATGTAATGTCCACAACAAATGATTGCACTTTGACACAATTCCCTCTATGTGAAGCTGAGAACTTCTCAGTCAACCCCAACTTGATATTCACAATACATAACTGTATGTACCTTCATCAGCATTTAACATTATACATTTGGGCAGGCAGGTTTTGAAGTCATTTTTACCAGCTTTTCAGTAACATCAGAGCTTAACATGAGAGAATGCCTATTGTGACCTTGACTGTTGACGTTAACCACTCTACTGAAATCTGTGAATAAACGTACGGTGCTAACAACCCAAGGGTTATAATCAGTACTAATCTGGGCTCGGAAACATTGATCAGCAGATCCTGGCATGACTAAGGAGCACAACTGTGGAACATGATGACCCAGGAGAGTGGACTATCTGTGCCCCCATATATATAAAACCTTTATACAGCAATAACCACAGTAGGCACCTGCATAATCTAACAGCCACAGAATGCCCAACCAATCACAAGAGAGAGGGATTTCAATCCCGACAAGCCCTGCATTCAGTAACAAACAATGCAAGGAAACCATTCCTATTGTGCTCAGAAGTATTCTAGGATTTGTTTCTTACAAGCATTTTAATCAGATATTAACAATGATAGGAAGGGGGCGCAGGTGGCCCAGTCGTCTAAGGCGCCGCAATTCGCTGTGCAGAGTTGTGTCCCTTGGGCACGCCAGAAACCTAAGATTGTGGGTTCGATTCCCGGGTCGCCCAGATTATGTTTCTAGGTTTGTTAGCACCATACCAGTGCTCGTGGGTTTCACTAAGTGGTAAACGTCCGAGACCTGCATCACTTGGGGCTTTCCTCCCACATTAAGCTGACATGCCTTGATATAACTGGAATACTGTTAAAAGCGGTGTTAAACCCAACTCACTCACTCACTCATTGACAGAAGGATCCTTATGGATCCAATACTCATTTCCCTTTCAGGACACCCAGCGAACAATTTCTTTTTAAATCCTACAATCCCAAAGAATAAAAACTTCGGTCCCTTATTGTGGATATGGATTCAATATCTCTAAGTAACTAATCCATCACACGACAACATTGGCCACAGGTAGGCCTTTTGCACCCAGACACAAATATACTATGACACTTACCTCCCCTGACACACAAGTCTAGGCTTGGAGAGCTCTATACTCTGGATATTCAGGTTGGGGTCAACAGTTCGGACTTCCACATACTTGGGTAAGATGGCTAGCACATAGGGTGGATTATGTTCTGGTGCAAATAAAAAGAGTTGAAATGTATCCGTTCAATTTATTTTCACAATAAATTTCATTTCATTTCAGACAACTAATTTCAAAGCAAGAAAACATACAACTTTATGGATAACAACTTCTGTTTATTTGCATACAGCATATAGCGACGTCTTGATGTAGATTCTTACACCATTATCAGGCTGGATTGGTTGGTTGGTTGGTTGTTTTACGCCGCACTCAGCAATATTCCAGCTATATGACGGCGGTATCATGCTGGAGTGACAACAACCAAATAATGATAAGTGTATAAGCATGAGATGTTGTGAAAAGCAGCAGATTAACATTGACAGCAACAGGTAATAGATAACAAGTAGCATGCAGATAATCGGAGCAGCTAAATGTACAGTAAAGATTACCAATACAGTAGTACACAGGTAATGAAGCCAGATGTATTACTTGGTTGCTGTCACTCCAGCTTGATTCTTGTGTAAGAATCTACATTGAACTGTCGCTATATGCAACAAGCGTACAGTCGACGAAGTCATCTATATCCCCCGCCATTTTAACACGTTATGGTCCCAAACCAGGTAAATGACCAAACATTTCTCTTAGGCCATGTCAAAATAGCTGCAATGGAAATTCTAAAATAAACATTTATAAAACTCCTTAATATCAAATGGCACCAGTTCAGTATGTGCTTTATATATAGACATGCAATGTTTGACAAGGAAATATTTAACAGTTTTTGAGTTATGCTCCGGAAACGAACAGCACCCTTATAGAACCTAAGTCCAACTTGTTGCCATGGAAACGTAAAAAATAAAAATTTATAAAGCTCCTAAATAGCAAAAGGCACCAGTTCAGCATGTGTCTGGTAGACATGCAAAGTTTTGTAAGAAATTATTTAACGGTTTTTGAGTTACGCTCCTGAAACGAACAGCACCCTTATAGAACCTAAGTCCAGCTTGTTGCCATGGAAACGTAAAACATTTTTTTTTATAAAACTCCTAAATAGCAAAAGGCACCAGTTCAGCATGAGTCTGATAGACATGCAAAGTTTCGTAGATAAATATTTAACGGTTTTCTGAGTTATGCTCCGGAAACAATTTCGGCACGCACACACGCACACACGGACGGAACCCATTTCTATATCCCCCGCCAACTTCGTTTGGGCGGGGGATAATAAACCAGAAGTTGTTATCCATAAAGTTGTACGTTTTTTTACTTACTCACCATCTTCTAAAATGCCAATCAAACAGTAAATTTCAAAGCATAAGAAAGAAAGTAACGATTGAATTTATTTTATTACTTGTTTATTTTTACCCAGCTGACCTTTTTTATGAGGTCACTTAAAAACATGTTTCAAAATAACGAAAACAACAGTTTTGAATTAAATAATGTGTAATACAAGTGACTAAACCAACTGAAGCAGCAAGTGTCCATCACCGCTGCCTCGGTCATCACCGTTACCTCTGTCATCCACTTACCTATAGCTAAGGGAATGTCGGACCACTTCACCGGCTCCTTCCGAGCAGGTTTGCCCTCAGCATCTATCAAAATAGACATCTCGTCTCGGCCGAGTGCCAGGCGGTCATTGGCTAGTCTGGTGACAATGGGTTCCACCTGGCGACTCCCTACGGGGAACAGTTCCGTCAGCTCACCATTTTTAACCTGCAATGACAGTAACACTTTTTGTTAAAATCACTGATAACATAAGTGCTCATTGAATTGTTTAACATGGGTCATACCAACATCCGACCAATAACTTCTAAATCATTTCTGGATGCAGACTGTACCCTCAAGTTACTCCAAATGAAAAATAAGGTAACAGATTTGCCTAGGCAGCAAAAGCTACCACCTCACACGATGCAGAAAAATGGTTCCATGGATAATGTAAGGTTAACCATTTGGAAGACATGCACGTTCAAGAGAGGACAAGAGATCAAGAGAGGACAAGAGATCAAGAGAGATCAAGAGAGGACAAGAGATCAAGAGAGATCAAGAGAGGACAAGAGATCAAGAGAGGACAAGAGATCAAGAGAGATCAAGAGAGGACAAGAGATCAAGAGAGGACAAGAGATCAAGAGAGATCAAGAGAGGACAAGAGATCAAGAGAGGACAAGAGATCAAGAGAGGACAAGAGATCAAGAGAGGACAAGAGATCAAGAGAGGACAAGAGAGGACAAGAGATCAAGAGAGATCAAGAGAGGACAAGAGATCAAGAGAGGACAAGAGATCAAGAGAGGACAAGAGAGGACAAGAGATCAAGAGAGATCAAGAGAGGACAAGAGATCAAGAGAGGACAAGAGATCAAGAGAGGACAAGAGATCAAGAGAGGACAAGAGAGGACAAGAGAGGACAAGAGATCAAGAGAGGACAAGAGATCAAGAGAGATCAAGAGAGGACAAGAGATCAAGAGAGGACAAGAGATCAAGAGAGGACAAGAGATCAAGAGAGGACAAGAGATCAAGAGAGGACAAGAGAGGACAAGAGATCAAGAGAGGACAAGAGATCAAGAGAGGACAAGAGATCAAGAGAGATCAAGAGAGATCAAGAGAGATCAAGAGAGGACAAGAGATCAAGAGAGGACAAGAGATCAAGAGAGATCAAGAGAGGACAAGAGATCAAGAGAGGACAAGAGATCAAGAGAGGACAAGAGATCAAGAGAGATCAAGAGAGGACAAGAGATCAAGAGATCAAGAGAGATCAAGAGAGGACAAGAGATCAAGAGAGGACAAGAGATCAAGAGAGGACAAGAGATCAAGAGAGGACAAGAGATCAAGAGAGATCAAGAGAGATCAAGAGAGGACAAGAGATCAAGAGAGGACAAGAGATCAAGAGAGATCAAGAGAGGACAAGAGATCAAGAGAGGACAAGAGATCAAGAGAGATCAAGAGAGGACAAGAGATCAAGAGAGATCAAGAGAGGACAAGAGATCAAGAGAGATCAAGAGAGGACAAGAGATCAAGAGAGATCAAGAGAGGACAAGAGATCAAGAGAGGACAAGAGATCAAGAGAGATCAAGAGAGGACAAGAGATCAAGAGAGGACAAGAGATCAAGAGAGATCAAGAGAGGACAAGAGATCAAGAGAGATCAAGAGAGGACAAGAGATCAAGAGAGGACAAGAGATCAAGAGAGATCAAGAGGGATCAAGAGAGGACAAGAGAGATCAAGAGAGGACAAGAGATCAAGAGAGATCAAGAGAGGACAAGAGATCAAGAGAGGACAAGAGATCAAGAGAGGACAAGAGATCAAGAGAGATCAAGAGAGATCAAGAGAGGATCAAGAGAGGATCAAGAGAAAGAGTGAGCAACAGATCACAATGACATCAGTTAGGAGTGTAACAATCGTGTAACAATACATCGTAGTTTTTATATATAGCAAGTGTGACGATAAGTTTTCGTCAAATATTGATTTTTGCAATACTAACACTGCCACTAATACTGATATTGTGTTATTGAAGTTATTACATAGGTTGCCTACGATGACACCTGCAACCAGCCTACTATTACTATACTCACCGACAAAAGAAACAGGAAAACCATACAAGTTGGTTTACATATGAAGAATTACTTATATTCAAGAGATATTAGATTGGTTCGATGCACAAACGAACATACTGTTATGTTGTGTGAATCAACGCTTGTTTAACCATCCCTGTTGTGAAATGCATCAATATTAAAAATAATAATAAAATATTGCTGATACATGAGTTAGTGAGTGAAGGAGTGAGTAAGTGAGTGAGTGAGTGAGTGAGTGAGTGAGTGAGTGAGTGAGTGAGTGAGTGAGTGAGTGAGTGAGCCTGCTTACACTGATCATGTAGTACTCTCGACGGAATCCCACACACAGAGACTCCTTACACCAGGCCATCGCTCGCGGAACATCATACAGACTCAGGTCTGCCTGCAGGAAAAATGCAATCATTTTACAGAGCAAACAAAGAACATATACTGACAATATATGATAAATTCACGCTCTGAGGTTAAAAGACTTGATGCTTGAGGAGCAACAAACCCAAGGCATAAAATTCATATTTTAGCATTGAAACATACGTAATTTCATATATTAGCGTAGAGGTATACATAAATTCATATTTTAGCCTTGAGATATACATAAGTTCATATATTAGCCTTGAGATATACATGATAATATAATCATTTTTCACAGACGAATGATAAAAGATAACTTGTAACACCTATTCTTCAAACAATCCTAACCTTCTACTGAAATCTTATCACAAACGATGAGAGATTGTGGACTTTTAATAAATCCTTTAGTGCAGTGTTAAATGGAAATATATTTCACAATCAATGCCACATTTAATTAATAATGGCACAATAGTTGTACCAAAATCAATACAATTCCTTGTCAATACTTCATGTACTATGTATGTAGAGTCATTGTGCTGTGTAATGGTCATGTGTGTCTATTTTCAATCAGCTAATGATAATATACATGGTGTAAAGAAGCCCATGAGGTATTGACAATGATCAAATATAACAATAATAATAGTCCATTAATATTGTGTATATTTCCACACCACACAGGGGCATACTCAAGTCACTACCCCATTATTACACCAGTCAATGGATTAGTGTGCACTTAATCTTAATTCTCAAGGTTAAGCCCCATTACCATCTCATACTACCGGGTACCCATTTGCTGCTGGGTGACGACAGGTACATTTCGAACAAAGTCACTTGCCTAAGGAGACATCTTAATTCTCAAGGTTAAGCCCCATTACCATCTCATACTACCGGGTACCCATTCACTGCTGGGTGAAGACAGGTACATTACGAACAAAGTCACTTGCCTAGGGAGACATCTAAATTCTCAAGGTTAAGCCCCATTACCAGCTCATACTACCGGGTACCCATTCACTGCTGGGTGAAGACAGGTACATTTTGAACAAAGTCACTTGCCTAAGGAGACACCACATGTGCTACATGTGCTTCAGTGTGGGGTAGGACCGAAACCCGAGAAACTCTCAGGAACCATGCTGCCGAACACAGTCACCCATCCAAGGACTCACCATCCAGCTACTCCCAGCGATCACCTGATTTGTGACTTGTGCTTTGTACACAGGATATATATCTGAGTTCCCTCCAATTGGTTTTACTTACCAGCAATTCATAGAAGTCTCTATTCTTCCAATAAAACAACTGAAACACAAACAGAAATGATGATGTAAAGAAAGCTCCTTTGAATAACCAAAAAAACAATGTACATCAAACTTGACCTGAGTGAACAACTGTCAGTCCTTGCTTGACAACGGTGTAAGGATCTAACCTGAAATGTCACCTTTACAGTACCTTGCTTGACAACAGTACAAGGATCTAACCTGAAACGTCACCTTTACAGTACCTTGCTTGACAACAGTACAAGGATCTAACCTGAAACATCACCTTTACAGTACCTTGCTTGACAACATTACAAGGATCTAACCTGAAACGTCACTTTTACAGTACCTTGCTTGACAACAGTACAAGGATCTAACCTGAAACGTCATCTCTACAGTACCTTGCTTGACAACAGTACAAGGATCTAACCTGAAACGTCACCTTTACAGTACCCTGCTTGACAACAGTACAAGGATCTAACCTGAAACGTCACCTTTACAGTACCTTGCTTGACAACAGTACAAGGATCTAACCTGAAACGTCACCTTTACAGTACCTTGCTTGACAACAGTACAAGGATCTATACCGAAACGTCACCTTTACAGTACCTTGCTTGACAACAGTACAAGGATCTAACCTGAAACGTCACCTTTACAGTACCTTGCTTGACAACAGTACAAGGATCTATACCGAAACGTCACCTTTACAGTACCTTGCTTGACAACAGTACAAGGATCTATACCGAAACGTCACCTTTACAGTACCTTGCTTGACAACAGTACAAGGATCTATACCGAAACGTCACCTTTACAGTACCTTGCTTGACAACAGTACAAGGATCTATACTGAAATGTCACCTTTGCAGTACCTTGCTTGACAATAGTACAAGGATCTATACCGAAACGTCACCATTACAGTACCTTGCCTGACAACAGTACAAGGGTCTATCCTGAAATGTCACCTTTACAGTAAATAAAGAAGTTGTTAGCCAATTGCCGTCAGGTCGAAGATTACAGTCTTGCCAACTCAACGAAAAGTACAGGGGAGAACCATTTAATGCAAAAAACGATGCATCTAACAGTGCCTAAAGCTTTCAGTTTTTCTGTCTTCCACTGAATCACACCCTTAAACCCAAGCATGTGTACAGGCCTAATATTATCCAAGTCCCTTGACAGGATTCGAACCACAGACCTTCTGATCCGAGGTCGGACACCTTGTCCACATGACCAAACAGGTTTTCCTTACATCAAGATAAGGATGTCATCCGTGGGATGACTCCACGACCTGCTACATAACTCCCAGTCAACAGAAGGTACGTCCCAGGCTGCATAGTAGGGAACCGAGACTTATTTTGCACAAATATAATATGAACGTGCTCAGCCAATAGTTGGGCGCCACTGTGGCGGCCATAATATTTTCGAGTCCCTTGACAGGATTCAAACCACGGACCTTCTGTTCTGTGGTTGGACATCATGTCCACATGACCAAAGAGGTTAAAACATCAGCAAGCTGACAAGGTAAGGATGTCACTGTGGGAGGACTCCACACCCTGCTACACATGGATACAGATTTTGTTCAAAAGGCGGGTGCAATTAGTGATGAGATATTAACATACATGTGCAAATAATCTGAGAATAATTTGTTAGATTTGTTGAATATCTATGACCAAATTTCAGCACACCCAACCCACTAACCATGTATGAAAACCTTAAACTGTTTAGCAAGTTTTAGAATCCTCTTTTCTAGAAATGTCCCAACAGTTTGAAACTCTCACTGACTGACCTGCACTCTTCTCTTGGAGGACACACCTATCCTGAGAGTGGTCTGCTCCCCACCGGTGATGGACGGAGCTTTCTGTAACCAACACAAACATGCATCGCATACATATTTATTATGACATCAGTCACATTCCATTACAAGTCTGTATTCTAGTTTTCAGTAATAATTTGACCTAAAAATACGGAAGCCTTTCAGGGCCATTTGTTTATTATTTTTTTCTTCAAATTTCAAGATACTAACTTGAAATGTCAAGGCACAAAAGCTGAAATTTGAAGATACTCAGTAGAAATTTCAAGATACTAAGTTGAAATTTCAAGAGTGAGTGAATATGGTTTTACGCTGCTTTTAGCAATATTCCAGCAATATCATGGTGGGGACACCAGAAATGGACAACATTGTACCCATGTTGGGAATCGAACCCGGGTCTTTCAGCGTGACAGGCGAACGTTTTAACCACTAGGCTACTCGACTGCCCCTTGAAATTTCAAGATACTGAGTTGGAATTTCAAGATACATAAGTTTAAATTTCAAGATACTAACTTGAAATCTCAAGATATTATGTTGAAATTTCAAGATTCTAAGTAGAAACTTCAACATACATTCTAAGTTGAAATTTCAAGATAATGCCACATCCCCTTTGAATCCAAGACTGTTCTGACAAGTTGGTAGATTGCGTACCTACGTGTTTGCACGTACACTACCTATGTCTTTCATTATTTAGGTAAAATAATACTCTGTGGGTCCCTCTTCACCCTTTATACATGATAAAATAAGAGGTTTATCAATTCAATTTATATAATGCTACCTGATTGGGTCAAGTTATTTTTCCTAAGGAAACTGAGATATTGGAACAAAGATGTCTATATTCTGTATTATGTCAATATATGTGACCAACCATGAGGTAAGGGACATTATAGGTGACAAATCACATTTTGATCTTAAAACTACTGTATCTTAGGGCCTTAAAAATACAATTCAAAAGATTCAATTCATATTTAGTACTGAGATGAATGGCATCAAACATTTTCTGCGAAGTTCCATTTTCAGACTTAAAACTGTTTATGTAATGGTTTCAGTTCTTAATGTCTCCTTAAGTGAAAGTAGACTTGTATGCTGAAATATTACATTACAAACTAACAAGAGAGAAAAGGGATATATTTGTACAGTCTGCACTAAAGACAATTTTTACGGACATAAGTTGACGTCAAATGACATCATAGCACAATAATATTGTATCCTGGCACCATTAGGTCCCTTTTCTACTGGCTGGTCACAAGTTGTAAATCTGCTTCTTCAGCTAGATCTCATGATTATTCTGAACAATAACATTCATATTTCATTCCTGATACCTACAACTGCAGCAACGAACTCTAAACACATGAACTATTTCTATGTCACTTTTGAATTCCAGTTACATTACTGAATCATCCAAGATTAATTTCACAATTTTCTTTTAACTTCTATTTGCCTGCACAGGTTACTGCACAGGTGGTAATGGTTACCGAGTATACATCCCACATACCTGTACATCTGTGGCAAACAGCGTAGCCCCCTTCGTCTTACTGACACAGGTGACGAGGCCAAAGGACTGAAGGTCATGAACGCTGATTACATTGTCTGAAGCAGGGATATATAATGAATCTCACCCGAGTGTACATTGATAATAACATATTTCATGCTTTCAACACAAGTTGAAAAAAAGTTATACCGTATTCGACGTAATAAGCTCCCCGCTCTAATAAGCGCCCACGGCGAGATTTGCTGATGTATTGGCTAGTGAACAATCCCAATTAGCACCGCTTCCTTCCCCTATTCGCATATAATACGCACCGCTTCCTTCCCCTATTACCGTATAATACTCACTCGTTTGTTATATGCACCCTTTATTATTGGCAATTAAATTCTGGAAACATATATCTGTCGTACATGAACATTTCAGGCTGTCAGCATAAACCACAAAATTTATCTTTCAACTCTGTTTTTTTCACCCAAATAATATTCTAATAAGAGCCCCCTATTTCTAATTTTGAGAGCACCCTGGGCACTTATTACGTCGAATACAGTATTTGATGTCAAAAGACACAAGGGTCAGATTCTATTTATCATCTAACATCATTCTTCCAACTTTACAGTTCAAGAACAGCCATAACCAGGGTCCTGAGAGTAAAAAGTAGACCTTACAGCTTCACAGGCTGAGAGATTAGTGATGTCATTTGATTGTGATGCAATTTCAATGTAGCAATATCTCCTAGGAGATATCATTTCATATCTCCCAAGCAATATCGCCTGTGGAAACGAGTTTTGGATAATAAAGAAACATGATACAATCACTGTTATGTTCTCCGTTTTGTGAATGTTTTATGCCACTGTAAGCAATATAGCAATAGCAAGGCATCCTGTAAACAATCGAGTCTGGCCAAGAAAACACAGTGATCAAGCAGTGTCCCACTCCATTGGGGCACGATTACACACATTGGTCCAGTGGTGTCTGAGGAGAAGATGGATGTTTACAATGGATGACCCATGATTTTGTTCGCATTTTCCATATCGGACTCTCAATCAGGATGCCTTGGAACAAACTTGGAACTACATATGGGGACCATCAAACCCAGTTTCAGGCTTCTGTTTCTTACGTTTGGGAGAAGGCGTTTTTATTATTTTCCTTAAATAAAAAATTTAAGGTTTCAGGGTTGGATCAAAGGTTTCAGGATTCTGTCTCTTGGGAGAAGATGTTTTCATTATTTTCTTTAAATCAAAGATGGCTACCTGGTGGACATGTTGAAATTCCTATTTTGATGCCCTGAACAAACTTGAACCCCCTTATAGTGATAAATATCCACTCAAAATTTCAGGTGAATCCACCAAGCCATTTTGAAGAAGGAAGTCGAAAAAAAAAGAAGTTTAATACTGAATACGCCAGGTGAGCTATTTAAGAAAGGCAAAATAATCACCTTCTGTTATGATTAAATGACAAGGTTGATATTGTAAAATATCACTATAATTATAATAATATCCCATACTTTAATATATTCAGTATTTCCACCGATTTGTAAAGTAGATTAGGCCAACATAAAATAATGTTTTTTACATCCATGAAAAATCTTTAACACGTAGGGCAGGGTTACTATGTTGACTACAGCAATGCAAATATATCTTTTTACGATATACAAGTCGGTTGTCATATTTCACAAAACATATGCTTGACACATAGAGGCAGCTCTATCGTGATGCAACTCACCTGAGAGACTGATCAGAATGTAGTGCTCAGGAATAGCAGCAAGCTGTAACAGATCACAATGGTATCAGTTAGGAGTGTAACAATCGTGTAACAATACATCGTAGTATTTATATATAGCAATATCAAGTGTAACAATAAGTTTTCGTCAAATATTGATATTTGCAATCCTAACACTGCCACTAATACTGATATTGTGTTATTGAAGTTATTACATAGGTTGCCTACGATGACACCTGCAACCAGCCTACTATTACTATACTCACCGACAAAAGAAACACGACAACAATACATGTTGGTTAATAAATGAAGAATTACTTATATTCAAGACATATAAGATTGGTTTGATGCACAAACGAATATAGTGTGAACCAACGCTCATGAACGCATCACATATGACGTCACAGATTCATGACTCGAGAAGCACCATTTGTCTTGTGCAGGATTACAGTGTAAAGTTTGGAAATCATGTGCAGCATATCATGATAGGAATAAAGAAACTCTGTGGTAACACTTGACTGATTGTTAGTTTTGTCATTAAGCAGTACACATTGGAAACATCTCTTCTTAACGTACATACTTCTCCATGTGTTTCTATGGTTCGCGTTTCTTTTGGCAACTACAGTACTGGCAGCCATGGTATCTGGTAGCCGTGCCTGTATATGCTAGTGTATTTTGGTACTTTTCAGAGACACTAATCATTTGGTAATGTATTGCAATGCATGATAATCCGTATTAAGTATCAAAATAACTGTAATATACTTTCTGAGTATACACACCCCAAGACAGTACATTCAAATAAAATGTCTTCTTATTGGGTTCCAAAGTACCAATGAAATGTAAACTAATCATACATCAGCAAAACAGAGGCTTGTTACACATACATCAAGGATATAAATTATAAAACACATATGGCTACATATTAAACCATAAGGCTACCCAACCCAACCACCCCTAGGTTGTATTGGACAGAAAACCCCACAGGGAAGGGGTACAGAACCTACCTGTGTGATTGGTTTCTTGGAGAAGGACTTGTTTGATCTCTCCAAGGTTACCTCAAATTTCTTTTCTGAAAAAGCAACATCACTGTCATCACTTCTTTCACAGATTTCTTATAATAATTGCTGAATGCTCTTATAAAAATGATGATGTACGGAGAACAAACAAGACAAAGATTCACTTCCAGATGCAGACATGTATAATGTGTATATCAATGATATATCACTAAACTAAACTGACTGAAGAAATACTGGACTCAATATGAAGAGATGCATGGGCTTAATGTGATATCCCCCAAGACATTGTTTGTTTGAAGTACCACACAAGATACGAACATGTCTTATCACATCTTCCCGCGGCAAGAGAGTTAACTGACTGTAAAAACCCAGGTTCCACCCTTGCCGAAAACTAGGCTGGTATCATGGAGTTACATTTTGGCTGGACTAACGAGTCTATGCATAGTCCAATCAAAATCGTGCAACGAAATCAAAATCCGGTTCATAAACTGTCGTGCAGATTTCGGTCAATTGCAGGATTTGCAAAGCATGTGCACCGCCAACTTGTTGTCAGCAGATATTTTCCAAATCTTTTCATGTTTTTAATCAAGGTGCTCACGTGATTTTATGCATTTCGCGATGTAAGACCCGTTTTATCACAATATAGATCTTGATTATCAATCAGATCGTCCTGACTGGGCGCCACCATTTTGTGTGAAGCAAAGTGATACGAAAGGTGGAATTTTATTGGTCCATAGGAGAGGCTTAGAAGGGACATAACTGGTAATAGCCACTGGTGGCGCTACGATCGAGCCCAGTAATTCCAGCCTAGTTCGGCGAGGGTGGAAACTGGACTTTTAAAGTCAGTTAACTCTCTTGCCTCGGGATGATGGTCTTATCATACCTCCATGTCTGAATGATAAGATCTGACTGGTCCATGAGATCTTAATAAAATACTATGTATCTGAGTCAATGGAAGTCACGTGACATAGCAGAAGTAAACCTCAGCTCAATCGAACAGCTATTTTCTATCAATTTGGAATATGTTTTAATTTTTTACAATGTCATATTAAAACATGTTGGTAAGATAAATTCTTTGTAGCAGGATCGCGTGGGGTACATGGGGTTTTATGCATCCCTCATTAGTTTTTATATCACTCGCCTCCAGCTTGTGGTATAAAACCTACGCAGGATGCATAAAATCCCATGTACCCCTTGTGATCCTGCTACAACTTATAATTTCCACACTTTGCATAAATCTGTACTTACGCAGAGAGCACATAAGTGTGTCTCTAAACACAAAAATATTGAAGTCAGTTTTTAACAGAATAGCTAACTACACTACAACATGCAGCCCCACAGGCCTGTGTCAAGGTCATCACCTTGCACCCTTGTACTCCTCTTGATCTTGTACTGCAGCAGGTGCCCTTGCTTCGTTCCCACCAGCAAAATGTCATCTGAAGGAAAACGTATAACAATATAACTATGCATGGTATATATTGTAATTGGATAGAGTGACTGGACTGTGGACTAACACCCACTGAGATACCATGCCACAGTTTTAACATGAATATCCCATTTAAAAACAGTATACTGACTTTGAGCCAACCAATCTTTGCTTAACCCCTTAATTCCAAACACCAGGCAGGGTGATGGTAATAACAAGTACCATCTTTTAACATCTTTTGGCATAATTTGGCCGGGGATCAAACCACCGACCTGCTCTACAGGCAGAGACTCTATCCACTAGACCACAGAGCCAGTCAGTGCTTACTGACCAAAGGGTCAAAATAGAGGATGTTCACCGATCTAACCCCAAACAGGGAATGGAACTCCACACAGTGGTTGGCAGTAGCTGGGACCACTTCGCATTCCCTGCCCACACATTTCTTACATAAGATAGACATTGATATCAAATGGTTTGTGTATGGTAAAGAGTGAAAAACAGCCATAAATTACAGATCAATGTCTTATTCCGGGTTTTACCCTGACTTACAAAAACGCGAGTCCAGAGGACCCCCAAGGATTAATTTTAAGATTCCTTGCAGGCAATATGGGGGTCCTATAGTATAATGAAATGGTGTAGTGTACTGTACGTTTACATAATTACTTTAGAGCCTGGAGTGAGTGAGTGAGTGAGTTGGGGTTAACGCCGCTTTTAACAGTATTTCAGTCATATCATGGCATGTCAGCTTGATGTGGGAGGAAAGCCCCAAGTGATGCAGGTCTTATTCACCACTTCGGTGAAACCCACGAGCAAGGGTATGGTGCTGACAAACCTAGAAACATAATCAGGGTGAACCTGGATTCGAACCCACAATCATAGGTTTCTGGCATGCCCAAGGGATGCAACTCTGCACAGCGAATTGCGATGCCTTAGACGACTGGGCCACCCGTGCCCCCTTTTGAGCCTGGAAGGAATCAATGTGTACAGTGGTCATCATTGATGGATGAAATAACAGACACCTATATCTGCTCTTGATGCACTGTAGGTACAATGCATATTATTGTGCATTCCTTGGGACGCAGTATATTTTCTTTCTGCATCCATTCTCTACATTTGTGCATACTGGACGCACATTTGAGGGTCATGTAAAAACCCTGCTTATTGTATGACTTGTCAATGCACACTATTGTGGGAATTCCATGTAAGAATTGGTCCCCAGCAACCGATGTTGAACATAAGAGGTGACTTAGTCATGGGATGGTTAGGCTGATCGGGTGATCGAGTGATCGGGTGATTGGGTGATCCAACAGTGTGACTCGTTGCTCATAATATTAATCACAAGTTTTTCTGGCCAAAACTTTAATATTTACAGACCACCATCATATAGCTGGAACATTGCTGAGTGAGTCTACACAACAAACACAACATCACCCTTTATTGACATAAATGACTATGAATTCATTTTGTAGGTATCACTGTTGTCATCTAATGTGTTCTGACAGACCTCTTTCAAGTTACCACTTACTCTTGCAAAAACAAACATGAAAACCATGGTCTGAAGAAAAGAATTAGTATTTCAATCTAGTAAGATTAGCTAATAAAAGATCATTAAAATTTAATATGTAAGGTAGACACAACAGTTATTGTCACAGACTGCATAGATTAAATTTAATTGATTTATTTATCATGCGTCAAAAGCAACATCTTGCTAAACCATTATGTGTTTTTTCAAACATTTTGCTGCAACATATACATTAGGTTTCTATTGCAATATCCAGCTCACTGTAGCCATGGTAATATTTCATTGATTTGTCCATCATGCTTGCTGAATCATCTGAATCAATTGGTTGTTTATCATTTGTTTATCATGTTTATTGCAACATTGTGCACACTGTACCATAGTTGATTCATCTACAATGCTCTGACTCAGTGTCCGAGTGCCCGCCGGCCCGCCTGCCTGTGGCTGGTACCTTTTATGTTTGGCTGCAAAAATAATTTTCTCCACCTGCTCAACTATCTGGCAGATAATTTTAAGACTAGTTACATATTCAGTTATATTATAACTCCTTGTAGATTCTCAAGTAATTGTTTATCAAGATGCTATTTGTCCCTTAGTTTTTGCAATTTTTCAATAGTTATAATGCCTGAATATGGGCAGGTAACTTTGAAGATGGGCATGCAACACTTATTGGTCACCTGTCCAACTGTCTTGTTGGGCCTTAAACTTATTTCAAACACTGCCCCAACTACAGGATTCCAGGTAAGACTAGGTCCCCTGTACCTCATGCTTGTTGTAAGAGCTGACAAATATGTGGATCATGTGGTCAGGCTCTTTGATTGGCTGAATGTCTATCATTTAAACCAGACTGCATTGGATGTTGATCTGGTGAATTTGTTGACCGAACCAAACTTGATGACTTAAAGGCAACCCCTTTGAAAATCTGGGTTTGATTCATCATCAGCAACCCATGTTTGTCCTCAGAGGCGACTGACAGGATCGGGTAGTCAGGCTCGCTGACTTGGTTGATACATGTCATTGTATACTTATTGTGTAGATTGATGCTCATGATTTCAATCACTGAATAGTCTGATCCAGATTTTATTATTCACAGGATGCCATCCTATAGCTGGAATATTGCTGAGTGTGGCATAAAACAACAATCAAAACTTACAGGCTACTTTGATATAGCTGGAATACTGCTTACTGCTGTGTAAAACAACACAATCTATTGCAACAGTCTGCAACAGTTGCTGGTGCTTTAAGCAGTGGGAAATTGATTGAAAGGTAGACCTTGTGATGTCATCGATATAGTGCAATATCTTTTAATTTGTCTAATTTTGTAATATCGATGCTGTATAGATACAAAGTTATGAATTTCAATACTAAATTAATAATTCACTGACATAGAAATGTTTATTTTAACTGAATTTCTTGTTATGTGGCAGTAGAGACGATTGGGAATGTATTTGTAATACTGTCAGTGGCAGCAAATGATTGAAGTGCTAGTAAAATGCTGTGTGCTGTCGTGGGACAGGTAACTCAGGCACTCGGGTCAGGTGGGTCCTGAGTCGGACTCGGTTACCCACAGAATTATCTAAACCCATGGTTACTCACGATATATATTGTTTCATGACAATAACAATAAAACTCCATGGTTACACCACAACTCACTGATGTTCGCATTTCTTTCTGACTATACACACATTGCTTCTGACTTTTATATGTTTGAATAAAGATCAATCTTCTGTCAACTTCAGTGTATACATGTAGGATCAGATCAGTTTATATGTGTATCTAAATTATTTTTGCCAGGGCTCTGGTAAACCCAGTTTCCACTTGGAATCACGAACCCAACTCTTGAGACCTACAGCGGGAACCCAGGTAGGTTCGGGTAATAGGGGGTCGGGTATCCCGGTAGTAAATGTGTACTCATCTCAGCCCTAGTGTGCGTCTGATTGTACTAGCCCATCAAGATCCTTCCTTGCATTGTCCTCTTAATGCCAAGCAGTAACAGCAAATACTATGTTTTAACATCTTTTGGTAAGACGTGGCCAGAGGATTGAAACACCAACCTTCCGCTCTCCCAGCAGACGTTCATTATATCAGAGGTGGTTAATAATCCCAGTGAACCTCAGGTTCGAACAAACAACTAGCAGATCCTGGCATGTCTAATGGACACAACTCTACACAACAAATTGTGATTCCCTAGACTACTTGGCTGTCTGTGGCCCTGTTACTTTTTGGTGAAACAAGGATTATAGATCAAACTGAATCAAATTAGAGTTATATTATTTTTCAATTTAGTGCAGTTTTAGTTTGAAATTCCTTGTGACAATATCCGCCGATTGTTACTTGTAATGTGAAACTAACGAATTCAGCTGCAGCATACGTTACAGTATCCCAATACATCCACAACCAGGAAATGACAGTCTCAGCAAAACAAACTTGAATGTGAAGTTACACCTACCATAACATGCTATTGATTCAATTTGGAGAGGGAGTTTCTCCAGAATTGGAGCTGCCTCGTAAGCGTCGTGCATTATGTGTTGCCAAAATGTTCTTCACATGTCGATCGTGTCCTGAAAGACTGTCCTTTCACAATGTTTTGCACAATTTCAGTGAAGAGCAGACATCGCACATGACCAGATTTTGTTGACTCCGCGCGAGGAGAGTTCATCATTTAGGTTTCTGTAAAATGTATGCGCGCTCGCAGCTAAGCAGTCAGAGTTCAAACCTCGCTCCGTCTACATTTATGTATTTAATTTTTCGAAGGTTTTTTTCTGAAATGTTAAATTCTGTGAATTAATGTGAACATCGTTTGTATTTTCCGTTCAGTAAAAGGGACAATGCACGTTGGACATTAAAAAATTCTAATGAAAGAGATTTTTGTCACAAGCAGTTTCTAATTGTACCCAAATTATTGGCAACAAAACTACGATATTTTTATTTCAGAGCACACGAGTAACTGAAGGATATCCTACTGGTTAAAGCGAGGGTCCAGGTTTGATATGCGAGGCCAAATTCGGAAAACCCAGCCGTGATTTGGTTAGAAGCTGTCTCTCACTCTCAATTAATGCAACCGCGTCAGAAAGTGGATCCATTTAATATCAAATCAATGTTAGTAAATGGTAGTAGTGTTATTAATAGAGGCGATATATATGTGTTTAGTACCTTCTTGGTCGCTATATACAGATGCGGACCTATGATTTTAAAGAGAGGATGTCAAATATTTATTTATTTCATACAATCGATACAATTTCCCCGCATTTTCTAATTTACATCAAACTTCGCGTGAGCCTTATATTATGTTTTGATTGACCCGTGAAGTTCCGGGTAGAGAATATGTCTTCAGCAACCCATGCTTGCCGTAAAAGGCGACTTTGATTGTAGTAAGAGGCGACTAATGGGATCGGGTGGTCAGGCTCGCTGACTTCGGTGATGCATGTCATCGTATCCTAATTGCGTGGATTAATGCTCATGATGTCAACCGCTGGATTGTCTGGTCCAGACTCAATTATCTAAAGTGCACCGACATATAACTGGAATATTGCTGAGTGGAGCGTTAAACAACAACAAAAACTGACTAAACTCCACCCATAAACACCTTTATCATCAATGTTTTGGTCAAACTAAATTATATCATTCTATTGAGGTAGCACCACTAAATTACAACTTTATCGCCAATTTAATCAGTAAGTGAGATTATCTCTCGTAGATAGAATTTGAATCATATGGACGACATTTTATTCACTTAGGTAAGAAACGTTACGAGGGTGAACATGACAGTTAAAAAAAGCACCACGCAGCCACTCACAGTGCACCTTACATACGTCGTTTGGGTTGTTGTCTGTTATCGGCTGTGCTCCGTCTCTACGCCTTGCACATAATCGCAGAGCCTATGCAGCCTGTAACCATATTAACATCGACGTGCAATTCCATCGCTACAGTTTAGAAATACTACATAAAAAACATCAACATGTATTCATATACAATTAAATTTGGTAAAGTTGGAATGAACTGTTACGTATTCTTTCAAGAGTTGCCAATATAAAAAAAACATCATTCGAAACAAATCCGGGCCGCTTGGGCATGACCTTCACCTCTCCTTTCTCGTCCAGCAGCGCTCCGTCAGTCCAAGCGTAAGGCGTTTTATACATATTGTTTGGCTATGCACTATGATGTTCTTCTTATTGTTGCCTAACTGTTTTTAGTTTTGATTTATTAAATCGCATAATAGTATCCTCAATCTCATTGTTAATCTCATTTCACCATGTCTACAGATTTACTGTAGCCCACGTGCTGTGCCCACGTGTCGCCGTCCACCCGCGGCAATCAGGCATACTAATTTAGCTAATTTTGCCCGTCCGATCTCATAAATCGCCAAGGAATTTGTAGCCGTACACTAATTTATATGTGTATTAACATACTGGAATTGATTCAGTCCAAATCATGTGCAAAGTGAAGTACAGTAAGGCATATTTCATTCAAAATATGTTTGCACATTCTGCATGTTGATAACTCGTTGAGTATGCTTGTTGCGTCTCATTTGAAACAGTCATTGTCCTAATTTTATTTCTTAATTATGTATTTGGTGTTTCAAGAATATGTAGATCTACCATATTTTTGCTCATGATAAAATTTGCCTTGATAATCATCTTTCATAATTTGTCAACATCATGTTCAATTATTCATGCAAGTTATATAACGAACGACAATAAAAGAAATATTTATAATACTGAATGATACTGAAAGTACAGTCGGGCCCTGGTATCTTGCAGCAGACTTCTAATTATCTGCATATTTGATATAGCAAGACATGGAAAGAGATACACATCAAGAAACAGAATCATAAATCCGTAGCAAGATGCTTCTGCATTGTGTGTACTGTCCACTTCTTTTTGCGTGTCAGATTAGATAAATTGATCCAGTTATCCTCCCTGAGCTTGGCCTGGATCCTTCTCGGAATTGCTCACAATCACTTATCTCCGACATCTTGCAAAAGTGTGATGTTATGTTTAGAGTTCTTTTTTTTTGTCTTACAAAAACAACAAAGTGATATTCTTGGCTCTTGTTAAGTACAGTCAAATCTCATTAATCCGACACTCGTTAATCCAACAAACAGCTTTATCCGACACTAATGATAGGAACCGATTTAATCAATGCTATTTAGCCCCTCAATCCGACAGTCTCGCACTCTGACTCCAACACCTAATTTGCAACGAATTACTGAAATCACTCATTAAAAGTCTCGTTAATCCGACACAGTGATCAGCGTCACCGATCCAGGAAATATGACCTACTTCTAGCACAAATTTGTTAGCAACTGTGAGCTGTTACTAGTAGGTACAAAGACGGTCACTTCGTCTCTGGAGACTAACATTTACTGCTACTACTAGCTAACGGCAAAGGAGCATGTCTTTGATTTTCATTGGTCAACGAGTCTACATAGACGATATGCAAGCCGGGCTGTCTCAACAGAAAAATGAAAAGATTACCGCAGAGCAACTTCAGCCTGTAACCAGCTATCTTTCTAGATGTAGAAGTAGCACTTGAAATATACTGTGGTTGTTAAATAATTACAAATAGAATCTACATTATCATGAAGAAAATTATACGGTAACCATTGATCATTACATCACCAGCTGGTCACATGACCTCGTCATGCATCATCATCCACCACCATTTTGTGTAAGGTCACGTCATCTGTTCCACTCAACTTAGGCCTAGTTTAGGCTAGTTAGTTCTCTAAATAGAGCACAACAAACGTGGGTGTTTTCACAACAATAAATACTCTTCAATATTCCTGCCATTTCCACAAATGGGAACGTAATGTCGTGCATGTTTTCTTCAGGTAGCCTTGCATTCTTTGCGTCCCTAGAAACAACGTTGACGTGCACAAGCAAAGTCACGCATCATAAATGCCGTTTATTCTAAAAGAAAGAGTGATTTACCGCTAAGGTATGGCCTACTACCTATCGTATATTGTATTGGTATCAAGCGCCCATGTTTTAAGGTGAATCACTTGCGTCCAAAGACGATTGGGTCACGTTCCTTTTCATACTCGCTCGTTTCTTTTGGTCCAACTGGTAGTAATTACTAGTTATTACTGCTTACATAATATATATATATCGTATTTCGTTTACATTTCAGCAGTATGCATCTGAGGCAGAAAATTTATTCAAGCTCTGAAGTCCCAAACAACTGAAAATGCTCCAAAACACCATCACGTGACCCTGGTATTCTCAAAGTGCTGGTGAAAGTGATTGTTTTGTAAATGTTTGTTGATAGCAGAGAGGCTGATAGACTTTATAACAAGTCATGATCAACATTCCCTAACTGTTAGTTAATTACACTGGTCTACATCTGTATTGTTTCTTTGCAACTTCTGTCAACAAACTCAAATTTATCCATTTATACCTGAATAATTGTGTTGTTATAAGATTATGACTAGGCCTACAGCATCTAACTAACTGTAATCCGCTGGTAACTGAATGTCTGAAGACAAAATACCATTTTATTGATGAATGTATCTCCATTTAACTCATACAGTTTAGTGTAGGGTGTAATGTTTGAATGTTTTTGTTGACAGTAGCAGACACTACATCTGTCTATGAGCAATGGACAGAACTGAGAATACCTTATCATGAACAGTAGTGTGCACTGCTGGCAACATCCTGTTTTTGTAAGTATAATTGAATTCCCAATTATAATGTCATTGTACACACAAAAACAACATAGTGTAGTTTTTAAATAGTGATCTGTTTGGCAGTGTTTTATATATTGTATATTTTCCTTTTCATTTTGTCTACTGGCCTGCATTAGTCCTTGTCATTTTCCTGTTATTTCTGATACATTCCAAAATAAGATTTGTCTGTACAGTACCAGCACACTTTAATAAGGACTAAGAGCAAATGTGCATATTTCTCAGTGTTTTAGTCAATTTGTGTTGTACCCAAATAGAGGGAATATTGTTACTGTAGTTCTTGTCATTCATTGTCTTGGCAGCAAGTGCCACATGTTTAGTTATACAAACTTACCAAGTTACCAGTGAAGATCAGGGTCAGAATAGGTCTTCAGCAAACCATTCTTGCTTTAAGAGGTGACTATCCTTGTCATAAGAGGCGACTAACGCGATTGAGGGGTCAGGCTCACAGACTTTGTTAATGCATGTCATCGTATCCCTTTTGGATGGATTGATGCTCATGATGTCAATTACTGGATTGTCAGGTCCAGATTTCATTGTTTACAGGCAGCTGTCAAAGCACGAATATTGCTTAGTACAGCATTAAACAACAAACAAAGAAAGATAAAAGTTCAATTTTTTAAATAATCTTATACCCTAGTATTATAATGTGCTATTTTTATCGATTATTATGAATACAGACTGTTTGTATCAGTTTGTAAGAGACAAACCAAGATTCGTACAACTATCTGCACATGCTTGTCATAACACAATTAATACGGTATCTTCAGGTTATGTATGTTTGTAAAAAGTTTGCTAGAAAGTGTCAACTTTGGTTGTAAAATCAGTATGTTCCTCACGACAGAACTAAATGTGCACTACTTTGTTGTGGTATTTTTTGTTGAACTCGTCTCTGTCTTTCTCAAGTTATGTTTGTGCAAGGTTCCTACCTGTTTAGTTTAGACCTACATTGT